ATTGCTATAAACTTTCCTCTTTTTTCCTGTATCCCATAGGTTTTGATATATTGTGTTTTCATTTTCATTTGTTTTTAGACACTTTTAAATTTCCTTCTTAATCTCTTCATTGACCCATTGATCATTCAGGAGCATATTGTTTAATTTCCATGTGTTCGAATAGTTTCCAAAGTTCCTCTTGTTATTGATTTCTAATTTTATTCCATTGCGGTCAGAGAAAATACTTGATATGAGTTCAATTTTTTAAAAAAATTTTATGACTTGTTTTGTGACCTAAGATTATTCTTATGGTCTATCTTTGAGAATTATCCATGAGCTGAGGAGAAGTATGTGTATTCTGCAACTTTTGGTTGAAACGTTGTGTAAATATCTATTAGATCCATTTGGTGTATAGTGCAGATTAAGTTCAATGTTTCTTTGTTCATTTTCTGTCTGGATGGTCTGTCCAGTGCTAGAAGTGGGTGTTGAGGTCTCTAACTATTATTGTATTGGGGTCTACCTCTCTGTTAAGCTCTAATAATATTTGCTTTATATATGTGGATGCTCCATTTTTGGGTGCATGTGTATTTAGAATTGTTATATCTTCTTGCTGAATTGACCCCTTTATCACTATATAATTACCTTCCCTTTTTATAGTTTTTGTCTTGAAATCTATTTCACCTGATGGAAGTAAAGCTATTCCTGCTCTTTTTTGGTTTCCATTTGCATAGACTATCTTTTTCCATCCCTTTATTTTCAGTCTATGTGTGTTTTTATAGGTGAAGTGGGTTTCTGATAAACAACATATAGTTGGGTCTTGTTTTTTTATCCACTCAACCACTCTGCGTCTTTTGATTGGAGAGTTTATCTATTTACATTCAATGTTATTATTGATAGGTAATAAATTACTACTGCCATGTTATTATTTGATTTCTGGTTGTTTTGGAATCTTCTCTTCCTTCTTTCCTTCCTTCCTGTTTTCCATAGTGTAAAAGTGATTTTCTCTGGTAATGTGTTTTAGTTTCCTGCTTTTTATTTTTTGTGTATCTGTTGTAGGTTTTTGATTGAGGTTACCATGAGGCTTGCAAAAAACATTTTATAACCAATTATTCTAAATATATGACAACTTAATTCTGCTTACAAAAGCCAAATAAATACACAAAGAGAGATCTAAATGAAAGTCTACACTTTAACTCCACACACATCCCCACTTTTTGACTTTTTGTTGTTTCCATTTACATCTTTTTATACTATCTCTCAAAAAGCTGTTGTAGTTATTATTTTGATAGATATGCCTTTTAGTTTCCTACTCAGGATATAAGTGGTTTATACACTGTAATTACAGCAATAGAATATTCTGTATTTGTGTGCTTACTGTTACCAATGAGTTTTATACCTTCAGATGATTTCTTATTGTTCATTATTGTCCTTTTCTTTCAGATTGAAGAACTCTTTTGAGCATTTCTTATAGGACAGGTCTGGTGTTGAAGAAATCCCTCAGTGAAAGTCTTTACTTATCCTTCATGCTTAAAGGATATTTTTTCAGGATATAATATTCTAAGATTAAGTTTTTTTTTTCCTTCAGCACTTTGAATATGTCATGCCATTCTCTTCTGGCCTGTGAGGTTTCCACTGAGAAGTCTGCTGTCAGACATATTGGAGCTTATTTATATGTTGTTGTTTTTTTCTTTTTTCTTGCTTTCCTTAGGACCTTTTCTTTATCTGTGACCTTTGGGAGCTTAATTATTAAATGCCTTGAGGTAGTCTTGTTTGATTTAAATCTGCTTGGTGTTCTATGAACTTCTCGTACCTGAATATTGATATCTTTCTCTACATTTGGAAAGAGTTATTTGTTATTACTTCTTTGAATAAACTTCTCCCCAGTCTTTCTCTTTACTTCCTCTTTAAGGCCAATAACTCTTAGAATTGCTTTTCAGAGGCTGTTTCCTATATCTTGTAGACATGCTTCATTCTCTTCTATTCTTTTTTTCTCTTCTGACTATGTATTTTCAAATAGCCTGTCTTCATGCTCACTAATTCTTTCTTCTGCTTGATTAATTCTACTCTTGAGAAACTCTGATACATTTTCAGTTTGTCAATTGAATTTTTCATCCCCAGAATTTCTGCTTGATTTTTTTTTTATTATTTCAGTCTCTTTGTTAAATTTCTGAGATAGGCTTCTGAATTCCTTCCCTGGTTGTCTTGAAGTTCATCTAGCTTCCTCAGGATAGCTACTTTGAATTCTTTCTCTGAGAAGTCATTTATCTCTATCACTCTGGGATTGGTCACTGCTGCCTTATTTAGTTCTTTTGGTGAGGTCATGTTTTTTCCAGATGGTCTTGATGCTTGTGGATGTTTGTTGATGCCTGGGCATTGAAGAGTTAGGTATTTATTCTAATCTTTGCAGACTGGGCTTATTTGAAATTCTCCTTCTTGAGAAGGTTTTCCAGATATTCAAACGGGATTGAGTGTTGCGATCTAAGTCTCTAGTCACTCCAGCCATATCGGCACTGAGGGCACCCCATGCTCAGTGATGCTGTGACTCTTGCAGACTCCTGCTGATACTGCCTTGGTGGACTTGAGTAAGATACAGGAGAATTTCTGGATTACCAGGCAATGTGTCTCACTTTCTTCCCTCACTCTCTGTGCTGTGCTGCTACGGTTGTGGAAGGAGTGACATGGGCACTCCCTCATGGCCCCTGAAGCTGCAACTGTGCCAAGTCACACCCGAAGCCAGCCCAGTCTCACCCCAAAGCAGTGGTGACTGCTACTTGGCTACCTCTGATGGTTTTTCAAAGCCCAAGCGTTCTTTAGTCAGCAAGTGGTGAGTGCTGCTAGGACTGGGTCCTTCCCTTCAGGGCAGTGGGTTTCCTTCTGGCTCAGAGTGTGTCTAGAAATGCCATCTAGGAACTAAGGCCTAGAATGAGGGGCTTCAGGAATCTTCTTGGTACTTTATTTTACTGTGGCTGAGATGGTACTCAAGTTGCAAAACAAAGTCCTCCTCTGAACTCTTCCCTTTTCTTTCCCCAAGTGGAAGAAGACACTCCCTGAGCTGCACTAAATGGAGTTGGGGGAGGGGTGACACAGGCACTGTTTTGGCCACTGCCATTGATGTCTCACTGGATCACATGCACCCAAGTCCACTGACTCCAAGCCAACACAGCCACACGAATTGCCCAAAGACCACAACCTTTGTGGCCTGACTGCTTTATGGATTTATTCCAGGCCCCATGCTGCTTTTTGTCAACCAGTGATTGGGCTAGCTGGAACTCAGGTTTGTACCCTGGGGTGGGGGATTTCCCTCTGACTGGCTGGTCTAAATGCTTCCTCCGTGGGCGCCAGCAGAATTCTGCCTGTGCCGTGTTCCCCTGTGACAGGGTGGCCCTGAGTTCCAATGCAAAGTCCCACAATTACTTCACTCTCCCTCCCCCAGACACACAGATTCTCTCCACCCAGTGTGGTGCTGCCAGGGGATAGGGCAGGGGTAGTATAGGCCATGCAACACTGTGTTTTCAGCCCTCTGCAGTGCCTCTTTTCTTGATGTAATGTTAAGACCAGGTACTGTGATCACTCACCTGATATTTAGTTCTTCTGAAAGTGCTTTCTTGAGGGGATAGTTGTTGAATTTGGTGTTTGTACAGAGGGACAATCACTGGAGGTTTCTATTTGGCCTTCTTGCTCTGCCCCCTCTCTCTCTGCATTTTAAATGAGAACTCATTTAAGCCAAATCAGGGAACATAAATTCAAGAATGACAATGGCTAAGTATATAATTTAATGAATGAAGCAAGCTAGTAAAAGAAATTTTTTTCCTTGAAATAAGCAGTCCTAAATTTTTATTTTCCCAGTGAAGATAAATTTTGATCTTTATGAAAAACTAAAGACAAGAAAGTTGAGTTGAAGGACCTAGAGTTCAGTATATCAGTATCAGTGATCTTACTGAAACAGTTTGTGTTTATGGAATCCTTCTGTTGCGTAATGAATCATTATTTCATACACTAATAATGGACTATAATGTGACCAAGATTAGTGTTGTTAAATTTCTTTACTGGCTAGATTTGAAACTTCTAAAAGTAATTCAATTTCAGATTCTGATTTTGGTTACTTTGCCCTTTTTTTCACCTCTTACTTGTGGATAGTTTTTTTAATAATGAATGTTAAAACTGAGAACACAGTAAAACACCTATGTTAAAAAATAAAAACTCCCTTTTCAACTTAGCTATTCATACCCCAATTCAATTCCCTTGAATATTTCATACCCTTGGTGCTTCAGAAGGTTATGTGATTGTTTTGTAGTTCTTTTTTTGTTTAGTTTTGTTTTTCTAAAAGAACAATCCCTAGATAAGATGTGGGGACACAGCTTTGTGTTTGAAATACAGCCACCTTGGGTCTTCTTCTAAAGAACACCCAGTGAGCTCAGGGTAAGCTACTTCTTCCCAGAATCCCTTCTGGTGGTCCTATTTAACCATTTTGGAGACATAGACCCATTAATCTGTTTAAAGAAATTGACACTCCACCTGGGAACATGCACACACAATTTTGCATACTTTATTTTTCTTGGAGGGTTTGTGGAACCCATGAAGTCCACCCGTAGTATCCTTAAGGATGAGTGGTCTCAGAATAAGAATCCCTACCCTTAGATATTAATTACTAGTAAAAGCTTAATGTGTGCCCTCCAGCCCCTCCACCTTCCAGATGTACTTGCATTTTAAAAGGGAGAAATTTGGCCTGCTGAAGGGATTCAAATTATACTGGTAGAATTTAATTTCAGGCTCTAGCAAGAAGCATGCAATAGAGAAATTTGGGACCAGGAGCAAACTCTTACTTATTTTTTATTCATTGTGTGGTATGTTTACTTTTTTTAAAAATTTTCATACACAATTATGGCCCAGTACCAATATACTCCAAACCCTCCATATCAAGGAGTTAATAGCTAGAATCCTGCCTAAACGAAGTTTGTAAGCCAGGATCATAAGCATGAAAATGGAGATTATCCAAAGGTTAACACACTGCTGTTTTACAGGATGAAAAATCATATTACATCAGTAAAGTGGGAGCCTATTTGACCGTCTCAAATCCAGGTTAGTATTTAAAGAATGGCTGTTGTACCAGGGATGACGCTGTGTTTCTGGTCGGCTCATTTTTCATCCCATTAAATCTACTAATCCTTGATGCTGCTTTTAAGAAACAGACTGAGAATGTAGCCAGCGATATAACTCTGGGGGAATTTATTACACCTTTGTGTGCTTAAGTTTGCCCGTTTACTTATAGAGGAGAATGGACTAGATTATGTCAGAGATTATTATCAGCAACAAAAAAGAGTTAGTGACTTTTTGATAGATTTTCTATTGTTAGTGAATTTATTCTATATTCTTGGAATCATGCATTCATTCTGCTAAAACATAGTTAGTGCCTGCTAGGTGCCAAGCCCTGCATTAGGCACTGGGGATTCACAATTTTTCAAACTAATAGTTCCTGCCCTCATGGAGCTTACATTCTAGAAGCGGGAGAAGACCAAAAACACATGAAATTATGATGCAGTCATCCCCCACCCTGCGGTTTCGCTTTTCATGGTGTCAGTTACCATGGTCTGAAAATAGGTGAGTACAGTACAATAAGGTATTTTGAAAGAGACCACATTCATATAACTTTTATTACACATATTGCTCTATTTTATCGTTAGCTGTTAATCTCTTACTGTGCCCAATTTATAGATTAAACTTTATCATAGGTATGTATGTGTAGGAAAAAACATTATATATATACAGACATATATATATGTGTGTGTGTATACACATGTGTGTACACACACATACACACACACACACACACACACACACACTATATATATATAGAGGGAGAGAGAGAGAGAGATTGGGAGAGAGAGTTCGGTACTATCTACATCCACTGGGGATCTTGGAACATAGCCCTGAGACTAAAGCGGGGCTACTGCGCACTGTCAAGTGTGATGAGTTCTACGAGCAAACGCCAGCAGGGAAAGTGGAGAGGAACAGAAAGCTATTTTAGATGGAGCCTTAGGAAAGCCTTCAGCGGAGGAAGGCCTCCCTGAAGAGGTGAGGTCTGAGCAGAGAGATATTGCTATTTGGAGATACCTGGGCCTGGGGAAGCTCTTCCAGGTGGCAGAAACAACAGATGCACAGGCTCTAAGGAGCTCGCTTGTTAGTGTGCCCAAGGACCAGCAGAATACCAGTGTGCCCGAGAGAGGGGACAGACAGCACATGAGGTCTGAAGGACAGCCAGGCCAGAGCATGTAGAGCCTGAGGGCAAGGCAAAGTAAGGACTTTGGGCTTTATTCTAAAGTGTGAAAGGATGCCATTGGAGGGTTTTGGGGAGGGAAATGATATATCAAATTTACATTTATAAAGTTTACTTTGGTTGCTGTATGGAGAATTACCTGCAGTGAGGCATGTTCTGATGACTCCTACAATGTTCACAACTAGAGAAGTAAAGTCGGATGAGTCTCCGGTAGGCTTCAAATGTCTCCCCAGAAAGCCTAGACTTAGGTAACAACCCTCCTGAGCACCTCCTCTGTGCCACGTACCGTACCAGCAGTTTTCGTGTCTGTTTTCTCCTTTTGAAAGCTCTATCTTTTGACTGGCTTAAACATTAGTCTATTAATTAAGGAACTTATGCCAAAGAAACTTACCAGGAAATGAAAGTGTGGAATAATGTCTACTTACAATATTAGCTACATTATATTGACATTATTCAAGAGGATTTTGTCAATGATTGTTGGTTAAATGTAAGTACAATATTGTAGCAGACAACTCATATTCATATACATTAACTCACTTAGACCTGTCTCCTCATATAGGCTAGGAAATAAATATTGTGGATACCGACATAAATTAACTAATGTTAGCACTAGTCATGGACCAAATTTTAGCTGGTGATCAGGTAGTAATCTCTCAAGAGGCAGGGGAAGGGAAAGTCAGGTCAGAAATTAATTTAGAGGGTAAGGGAGGGGAAAAATCAATTCTAGACCTGATGACCAAGGCCGAGCGTTAGCAGCAGGAGCTCTAGTGGTCACATAATGATGATTTTCATTCAGTGGTGGTGGTGGTGCTATTAGGAGTAGTAACCGGTTGTAATTACAGTATAATGATAGTTGTAATGTTAGCGGGGATGGTAGTAGCAGACTGTCCCAGGATATAACTCACGATACAATGTGTATACCGATAATTCAGTACATCGTGTAGGGCATTTGCTTGTACAAATGCTGAAGTTAATGTCAGCTGGTTGATTTATCATGTGCCTCTTTCTTACTGTAAGCCACGGGGACTGGACAGTTGAGTCCTCTGGCCAGTGGATTTTCTCCCATTCGAGAAGCCAAAGTATAGTCAAAAGGGTGCTTGGCGAGCGTGGAATCAAAGCAAATGGAGTTTATTATATGTTTTAAATGTTTAACTCCATCTGTCTTGAAGCCTCTGCTTCCTTGAAAATGGTGTACCTGTCACAGGACAGGGCTGATCCTTGGGCAGGTACCTCTCCCTGGACAGCACTCAGCTGGGAAGAGACGGTCCTCTCCCTTCTCTGTGTTTCCAGGGACAGATGCGATAACCCTTCTCAAGAGTTCTTTCTTCTGCTAGTTTAATACATTCAGTCTGCAAATACCCCATATGCTGACTTTGTATGTCTCTACTCTGACTCATTAAGGATTCTGATGACTTAGTAAGTCTCAGAAAGCAATATTACTTCTCTTATTTCTGAAATTTTATGGCACCCCCTGGAGCCCCCAAGCATTCACAGTAGTCCCCACCAACTCTGTCCCTAATGATTTAAAATAATCAAAGGAAACATTCTCAAAAGCTGCCATGTCAGTGTTTTCACATTCTAGTCGATATTAGATGTCACCCCTATTCTTCAAACAGAGCACCAGAAAAAGTCTACAAACAGCACCAGGTGTTTTTTCATGAGAAGAGCGTGGCAGAACCCCCAGGTAGACATGGCTGAAGGAAGGCCATCTGACTGCACGTGGGCAACCCAGCAACAGCTGGAGCTCAGGGGATATGTGTCAAGATTTCACCTTTTCTTTCCAGAGACAATTTACCAAGGATTGAAGGGTGCGCTGGTGCTGTTTGAGACGGTGGTCGGGCATTCCTTCAGGTGTGTGAGCGAGCAAAGCCTCCAGCTGTCCGCCCAGCTCCAGCTGAAAACAATGAATGTCCAACTTCAAGCCTTTGATTTGGAAGACGACCACTTTGGAAATGGTAAGTTAAGGGTTCACTGGGTCACAAAGACAAACGTCAGAGACGCAGGGTGGTTCCAAGTTGTTTTCTGTCTGAAGCTGCCAGAGGAGCAAGAATCCCATGAGCCTCCTGGAACAGCTCCTGGTCCAGGTCTCTCTGGCCACCCTTCCCGGCCACCTCTAAATCAGACACCTTCACTCTCTCACGTCCACAGCCCTCCCGCAGCAGGATACATTCTCTTTGACTAAAACGCATATCTTCACTCATTTAAATACGCACACACGCAATAGAAAAATCACAAAACACCATCTGCGCCTTCCCCTTCACATGCCGTTGAGCATTGGTAAACTCAGGTATGTTCGGAGAACACTTCAAAGATCCTGAGCATCCGTGATGTCTAGAATTCAAGATTTCAGATTAGATTCTTTTCCACCTGCAGAGGGAAAGAGCACACGCGGCCATCTGAGATAGAAGTAAACTCTGTGGGACCCCCTTCTCAGTGACGAGCTGTTGCACCCAGCAGTGTTTCCTCATAGGCAGTTTTAGTTTCCACCTAACTTCCGCCTTGGATTTTGACCTCCACAGGCAGAGACTGCCTGACAACTGCCTGGGAGGGAAACCGGTCCTTGGACAAGGGACAGGTGCAGACCAGGGTGACTTTCTAGAAAAGCCCTGTTCTTCCTTTCAGGAAAACAGTATTAGAAGGATTTTTAAATATGACCAGAAGGGTCATGAACTTCAATGTCTAAAACATCCCTCTTGTAATAACTCAAAAACGTTATGAGTACTTTTCAATTACCAAAAATAGATTTAGCTATAAGTTTAGCCACATATTAAATTTCTGTAATACAAATCTGATTTTGCTTTGGGTTCCATTATGAAATTGCAGATGTGTCTAGCAAAAAACTTCTCCTGACATACTTAGTGGAAAGCATTTAGTAAAGGAAGGATTAAGGTGTTTCTTGCCTTGGATCCCTGATTTCTGTGGGTTTTGTCTGAGTCTCACAGACTCTACTTTTGGTTTGGACCTCACCACAGTGCTAAAATTAAATATTAAAATTTTCTAATAGGTGTTGCCCCCACATTGTCATCTGGTCTCAAAACTTCTAATGTTGGAAAACTATTTATTTCTTTTAAAATTCATTATAAAGGTTTGAAAAAGCTCTGTAATTAATCATGTGATCTTACAATCAGTTACACACTCGCTCTTCTTTCCCATCAGAACCTCTGCAAGGCAGGAGGTGAGCAGGTCTGGGAAATGCCTTGCTGGCAGAGGTGGGACATAAAGAATAGAAGCTTCCAGCAGCACACACCTGGCCTCCTATTAGCAGTGTTCACAGGGAGAAGTAGAAAATCTCTTTTCTTTACATTTTCTTCTAAAATCACCATTCATTGGCTAGTTCCGCAAACAAGAGACTTCAGAGATCCCCTTAACTCCTCTCCCCCATCACCGTCTCATACAAATGGTCCCAAACCCCTGCCGAGTCTACTTCCAAAAGATCTCTCTTGTTCGCCGACTGTCATTGCTTCAGCTCGACTCCGTTTTCCTAGTCTTCGCACTTCAAATTTCACTAAAGATGCTCAAATGTGAAGATGTATGTCCTTCTGGAAATAGTATTTTCTACCAGAGAGTAAGAGAGAGAGAAACAAGGGAACAAGTTACCATACAATACAGTGTTTAAAAGACACAGGCGCAAAGGGCTTTGGGAGCGCAGAGGAAGGCAGGATGAACACAGCGCTAGTGGCAAGAGGGTGGGTTCCAGAAGTGCAAACCAATGGGTGACATTCAAACAGGGGCTCAAAGAACTGGAGAGGAGGCCAGCAAGTGCCAAAGCTGAGCCTGGTAAAAGAGAATGGCCATCGCAAACAGTGCACTCCTGACTCTCACATTCTCAACTCCTCCTCCCTAAAATTCTGGAGCCTGAAAGAGTTTTGGGTTTTTTGCTGTCTTTTCCGTTTGCTCTTTATTTTGCTGTCTGAGGAGCCCCAGGCTGTCTGAGCAGCCCCTTTTAAGAAGCATGATGTGAACAGAAAGCTTTGGCTCTGTGACTTGGTGCAGAACCTGTTGGGGAACGTGGCTCCAGGGCTCACCCTGGCTTGAGAGTCAGGACACGACTCTGATTATGACCCTCTAGAACAAACCAGTGTTTCTCAAAGTTGGATCTACCTCCCAGCAGCATCAGAATCCCCCAGCCATCAGACCCACTGAATTATAATTTCTTGGGCGTGGGCCTGGGATCTACACTTTAATAAACTCCTTAAGTAATCAGCAGCACTACAAGTTTCAGATCCACTGTATTGGCGCTTTCTCTCCCTGTTTTCACCCATCTGTTGCCTGAGGCAGCAGGGGGAGGCCCAGCAGCTCCCTGTCTCCCTCAGTTTCCTTTTCTGCACAGCTGAGGCAGACGGGAGCAATATCACTTCCCGGCGTTTGTGGCCAGCCTGTAACACCTGTTACTCTGACTTCAATTACAGCGGATGAATGCTTCAGTGACAGAAACAGGAGAGAAGTCCCTGTGGCCATGGGCCTGAGTGTCTCAGGACTGCTTGTCATATTGCTAACCACATGTCTGGTGGCCAGAAAGAGGCCCAGTAGAGGATATGAACACCTGTAAAGCCCCACTTTCTTCAAAATGTGCAAGGTTAAGGCCTTGGAAACTCTGGCTTCATTTTCAGCCTGAAGTGAAAGGATTATCTCTCTAGGTACCTGTCCCACCCTTCCAAGCTGTTTGGGAAAACTAGGTCTCCACCAAAGGGCCATCTGAGGGCTAGGAAAGGGCACCCTTCCTCCCCACTTCCTCCCGTTGGCTTGGGGAGGCCGTGTCAGATGAGCTTCAATGCCATCTGCCACACCTGGATAAACCTGAGCAGGCTTCGAGAATTAGGGGGCAATGGAGACATGAGCTTGTGCAAAGGAGAAAGAAAAAAACCCAAGGGGAAAATTATGGGAAGACATTTTCAGACTGCAGTGATTTTCTTACACATTTGTAAGAGTCTCAATTTTTAGTTTTTTAAAAAATATTGCTTTAAATAAATCCATTTCAAAACAGATTACAAAGTGATTTTAAACTCTTAGATTTTACCAAAATTTTAATCTACTTAAATTATAGATGGTCTTAGTATACTATTTTAAAGCAAAAAACCATATTATACACTATTGTAATGTATTATTAGTAAAAAAAATTAGAAAACTTCCTGACATTTCACTTTTTTAATGTAAAGCGCATACTAAAGATCTCAGCAAGCAAAAGAGGCTCAATAAATGTTAGTTCTCAAATTCCTTCAACTTCATTTATTGTCTGCCTTCTGAACACTTTTTTCCTGATATTGTCTCTGTTTTTCTTTGGTGCTATTCTAACATTGTAATGTGGTACTTTGGGCCATTATAGGAGGGGAGGTAAGCAGAGCATTAGGACAACCAGAAATAGCAAGGGCGGAAAGGTAGACCTGTGCAGGTCATTACCCACTTTCTTCTTTTGCAAACATTCATCAAAAAAATTAGAAACCAGTAAACATCTGGAGGAAACAATTCTATTAAAATACGGCTTAGGATGTTATTCATGGTTTTGTATTACATCGAAGGTTTAAATATGAGAATTGGGGTTTTAGTTCAGAGAAAAGGGAGAGTAATGGACTTCCAGATGTTCTTATTAAATAACTGATTTTACTGACAGAAAGTTTTCTTGTTTATCTCCATTTTCCAGAGGTACCATTCATTATTTTAACATGAAGCTTATGAAATTTGGCAACAGCTCTACAACTACCCCTTATCTAGGAAATGTGCTGGCTCTCCCTGGAGGTGTTTCCACCTTCCACTTTCTTAGAAGTGAGGGGGTGGGAAGGGCACTTGGCAGCTTCAAGAGAGAGCTTTAAGAGCCCCAACGGATAATCTAGAGTGTCAGGAAATGCCTGTCAGGAGATGTTGATGAAAATCTGGGTTGTGAGGACCTGGTATTCCCCGAAATGACTCAAGCCTAAGAGCAAGGCCTTGGCTTTGGAGAGCTGCGATCTCCTCCCACCTCCCCCCCTCAATTAGGCACCTGCTGCAGACTCCCATGTGTCCAATGTTAAGGGCACTTGACAAGGTGTTTATTCACTGGGCCATTAACCATCCTGCAGAATGACTAATGCAAGGTTAATCTTCTAGTATGTGGAAATTTCTGCCATTGCAGTTAGAAACAAGAAGCAGAATTTAAAGTCAAGAGCAGAGGGATATTACAGTTCATTTAAATTCAATTTCCCTTCCTACCATCTTCATTGAATTCTTTTGGGTGGTGGCTACTGCTCAGACTCCTGCTACCCATTCCCCCCATTCCCAAGGCCAACTATCCTTAAAATTAATTTGAATTAACACTCTAGTAACCACGAAGAACAAAGATTCCATTGGAATGACCAGTAGACAAATGCTTGGCTGTGTGATTTCCTGACAGTCCTGCCCCCTTTCTGCAGGAGGAGCTGCAGCGCCGGCTCCTCACCAGAGCCCCTGCCTCCGCCCCCACCAAACATATCCACCCTAAGAAACCTATGATGAGAGAATAAAAATCCTGAGAACTCTTACTTCCATTACTAAGTCTGGAGGGAAGTAAAGGGTGGGTTGCTTTATCTTCTTCCTTTTCCACCTGGGATATTGAAAATGGCTCCCAGGAAGAATAGGAAGAGTGAACATAGGGACTGATGGAAGTGAACTGGGGAGCCAACCCCAAACCAGGGGGGCTCTCCAGGCTTTAGCTACTGCCTATGCTACAAAAAAGAGGATAGAATCTAAATATCTAGCTCAAAGGGAAACATTAACTGAGCTCAGATACAATGGGAAGAAAGACCGTAATTTACCCAAATGGTATCATTGGAAATTGAATTTCTGGACTGACATGCTCAAGCATGAGCGAAATGAAAACAAACTGCATGGCCCCTATGCAAAAATACTGTAGCAAAATAGCAATAATCATATTACAAAATTCAATTAATAAAAGGAGGGAACGTGTATTTATATACTAAGACTGTCATACCCAAGCACCACAGACTGGATGCCTTAAACAGTAGAAATGTATATATATTCTCAAAGTTCTGGAGCTAGAAATCCAAGGGCAAGGTGTTAGCAGCATTGGTTTCAACACCATCATATAATATATAGAAGCAGTAAGAAGCAGAAAAGATAGGGCTGAAATTGTGTTTTTTTTTCATAGAGAGAATGAGATAATCACAGTTAATACACATAAAATCTTATGATTAAAGCATTATAGGGACCTACTAGATGTAGAGGCTATTCAGACCATCCAACATAAGGATAATGAGTGCCTCTGAAGTAGAGAGCTCAAAAATAGAATGAAAGGCCGGGTGCGGTGGCTCACGCCTGTAATCCTAGCACTCTGGGAGGCTGAGGCGGGTGGATCGCTCAAGGTCAGGAGTTCGAGACCAGCCTGAGCAAGAGCGAGACCCTGTCTGTGCTAAAAATAGAAAGAAATTATCTGGACAACTAAAAAAAGAAAAAATTAGCTGGGCATAGTGGCACATGCCTGTAGTCCCAGCTACTCGGGAGGCTGAGGCAGGAGGATCGCTTGAGCCCAGGAGTTTGAGGTTGCTGTGAGCTAGCCTGAAGCCATGGCACTCTAGCCCAGGCAACAGAGTAAGACTCTGTCTCAAAAAAAAAAAAAAAATAGAATGAAGATATAGTTTAAGATTTAAGAGAATTTCCTTGAGATAAATAATTGAAGTTGAAATTGAAAAAGCAGAGTATGTCCCAGAAAAGAATTGATACAGAGAGTTTAACACTGAAACATATCTGAAGTAAACTATAGAATTTCAAAGATAAAGAAAAAAATTTTTAGGGCTTTATGGGAAAAAAAAAGAAAGAAAATCACCTATAAAGTGAGAAAGTGAAAGTTCACCTCAGATTTCTTCACAATAACATTTAAAGCCAGCAAACAATGGGCCAATGTCTACAATGTCCTAAGGGAAAGAAAGTGTGACCCCAAATATTATTTAAGTAAAAAGACAATAGACAGATAGTCTCAACCATGAAATAGTTCAAAGGAAGCAGCACCAACAAGTCCTTCTTAAAAACATTGCTTGGCAATGAAATTCAATGAGATGGGAGACGAGCCACACTATAAACAAGAAAATAAGCAAACAACCTTCAGGAATAGAAAAATAACAGTAAAGATAAATAAATAAATAAAACAAAATAAAATAAAAAAGACTGATATTGGTGAACATTTTATCCATTCAAATATTAAAAATACTAAAGAATTATGGGTCTGGGAACACAAATATACCTCTCATACATGAAATGATATTTTTACATGGTTATTCATTATAGTATTATTTGTAATAGCAAAAAATTGAAAACAAACCAAGCGTTCATCAATGAGCATCAGAATAAAAATCTATGATACATCCCACAGTGGAATGCTACACAGCTACAAAAAGAATGAGGATGCTATGTGTGTATGTATGTAGGTATAAGCAAAGATATCAAAAATGTATTGTGAAATCAAGAAAGCATAATGCATAACAGTGATAAATGGGGAAATAAAAATATGTTCATCTTTGTTTCTATCTGCATAAATAAATATCAGAAATATGTATGAGAACTAAGAAAAGTGGTTATCTAATGGGGTTGGGAGGACTAAGAAGATGGGATAAAGGTGGAAGTAAAATTTCTCAATGTATAGCATCTTGCATTATTTTGACTTTTCAAGCCATATGGATGTGTTATATATTCAAAACACACTTTTTAAAAGCTAGAGGAATGATAGTTATCAAATAGAATTGAAGTGTTATAAACCTGGACAATGTTAACAATAGTAATATAACTATTCAAAACTCAGAGTTGGAGAGAGGGAAGATAGAAGAAAATCTGTTAGTGCTAATCTTCCAAAACAGTATCAGTAGATAATGTTTAAATTGGAAACTGATTTTGGGAAAACATATGACTCCAATTTATTTTATAACCTCTTTAATGTGTACTTCATAATCTCTTTTTTGAACCTTAAAGGGATCCTTTATGAAACAATACTTCCTATGACAAAGAAACATCGACATGCAATGATTCCTTCAGTTTCTTTTTAGTTTTTTCTTCTATTAAATTCAAGTAAAACCTAAATTAACAACTTTAATAAATAGCACTTGTATGATCCTATCTTAATAAAAAACACTTCTATTTATTTTTCTACCCACTTATCTGTATAGTTCTGAAGAAAGATGCCTGAGATAATGTTGGTCCATGTTAGGAGTGACAATTTCTGGGTGGGTTGTTTTGGGGTGATTGGTTTTTGCTTTTTTATTTGTGTTTTTCTCGATTACTTTAATGATTCATAATGAGCATAGATCATTTATTAAAAATAGAATGATTTTTCTTGAAGCATACACATGAGTACACACACATGCATGTATTCACAGAGGAAGCAAATGCCTGAAAAGGTTTGTAGTGATTGATTCAAATAGAAGAAATGTGGTGATAAGTACTTTTCTTCATGTACTCTTCTGCATTTTAAAAATATTTAAACAATGTTAAAGAATTTAACAGCGTACAAAACTATATAGGAAGCAAAAGTTGCTCTTCCACTTCCATCCTAGTCCTTCTCCCAGTTTTTGCTGTGTCTTTCACACCTGGCACACAGCACATTTGTTTGGGTTCATGTGATGCTTCGTGGGTCTTAGGGAACTTGTATTACACCACATTGATACCTGCCACATTCTTTTTTTTTCTTTTTATTTATTTATATATGTATTTATTTATTTTTAGATTCCACATAAAGCATTGAACCACATTCTTTGTAATGGCTACATTATATTCTATCACATGAATACCATTTTAAATTTTTGACGGATATTTCGATTATCTTTCATAAAATGGACATTACTGTAATATGTCTTTGTGTAGGGTATGAATATATCTTTAGTACAAATTCCTAAAGGTGGAATTGCGGAGTCAATAGTTACGTGCTTTACATTTTGCTTTAACTTATTTGCATTTTTTCCCACTGATTTTAGTTTCTTAGCTTATCCAAGTTCTTTTTTATTTAAGAAATATATGTAAGTAACAAAAGTATCATATACTCCAAAAGGGCTTATCATGAAAAGCAACATTCCCCTGTCCTGCCGCTGAGAGACAAAGTGCTTTTAACTAAATTTAACAGTTTCTCCTGATGGCTAGCTCCATAACTCTACAACATAAAAAGCTTATCGAATTATTTCTTATCAGTTTTAGATTTCCTGCTATGGTAGATAAGGATTTATGGTTATACGGCTATTATTGGTCAAATCAATAAGGTAAACATTATTATACTTATGTAAATATTGTTCACTGCCAAGCACAATTTCTTTCTTATACAAATTTTCTTTTTCCAGGAATCTCTATTTTCCATTCTCTCTTCCCTGACTTCTTCTGATCCTTTTTTTCTTGGATCTAATGTACACAGAATTGAGTTAATGGTGTTCCTCGGTTCAGGTCATAATTTCAATGCTGGTTCATACAAGGAACTTGTACATGTATCTTTTTAGCTATCCATGAATGAGATATAGATGGAGTTCTCCATTTATTTGCTCTTTTCTCCCAAAGTCTTCATTATATCGAATATTTTATGAAGTTCCCTTTTCCCCAGGCCACTCCATCTTTCTCCTGTCAAGACTGATTAGTCTCTGACCCAATGAATTATGCTTTAAATGAATCAAGTGCTCTCTAATGAAATAAAGAAAAAACAGTTTTGACAAGTTTATAAACTCTCATTTTTAAACTTTCATGAATAATTTGGTCTATTTTCTAATATTACCTAAATGTAATCCAAGAAACCTCAGGGGTAACAAAAGTGTTTTATAAAATAGATAAACATCACATGTTTTCAAAAGATCATCAGTAATCTAGTCATACAAATGCTCTCTGTCATGTAGGCACATCGCACTTTGTAAGAAGCACTCCTGGAATGACTTCTTTCTGGGTTCAGGAAATAGGGATAACAATTTTTAATTGCTGAGAAGATAAGAAGGTTATTTTATTTAATCTTTCAACAATCTTACATATTATTTGCATACTTTATAAGGGAGGAAACTGCAAGGGTAAATTACCTTCCCAAGATCACACAGCTAGTTAATGGTAGAATTAAAAGTCAAGCCTGGATTTGTGTGACTCCAAAGCTCATATTCTTTCCATTCTAGCCTGCCTTCTGGTCTGTCATCACCAAACCTTACCGTCTATATTGTATTTGTTTTTTCTCTTAGTGGATGAGTGCTCGTCTGACTACACAATTATGCTTCCTGTGATTGGGGCCATCGTGGTTGGTCTCTTCCTTGTAGGTATGGGTGTCTATAAAATCCGCGTAAGGTGTCAATCATCTGGATACCAGAGAATCTAATTGGTGCCCAGAGGAAATGAAAATAATGGAGTTTAGAGAATTCTTTCATCGCTTCCAGGATGGATATTAGGAACTTCCCTTAGAATATGGGTCCTTTGAACATACGAACCACCATCTTCCGCTAAAACCAAGTGAGCCATTTGTGATTTAAGTTCAGGCAGCACATCAATTTCTAAATACTTTTTGCTCATTTTATGAAAGATTTAGTGATCTGTTTAAGAGTATTTTCTAATTTCCTTCAGAATATTTTAACTCAAAGGCAACATTTGAGATATGCTGAATTAACATATGTAAAGTGGCATATGCCTCCAAATTACAAACCAAAGTGTCAATTGTAATTAATGCTACCTGTGTTTGCATTGAAGATTTTATTTTACCCTTGATATTTTCCATTTTAAAAAATGCCTTTGTTCTGTCGATCAATGGACTTTCAGTGCTTTTACTATCTGTGCTTTTGTGATGTATATGCATATGCCTGGCGCGGTACTTACCCTCTTTCCCACTTTAAGTGTTTTTTTTTTAAATCATCAAAAGAATATCTCTGGCTGTCTGGGTTTTTGATGTGAAACCAACAAGAAGAACAAATAGGTTTATACTTTTTATCTTGATGACTTCTGCTCCAGAATCATTAGGCTAAGAATTACGTGGCTACAGACAACAGAATTAAATAACAAGCAAGAAACAATAATAATGGCTCTTAGTTATTGAACATATAAGTGTCAAACACTAGGCCAAGCACTTTACATACATCTCATTTAATTATCACAACTTATACACAAGTAAACTCTAGCCCAAGAGAATTAACTCACTTAATGTCATCCACCTAACCGGTGGCAGAGCCAGAATTTGAACTCACGTTGGCCTGGTACCAAGGTCTTGGCTCTTCTCACTCCACCAAGTTGCCTACAAGAACAATGACACCAAGGGCTGCCTGAAGCCTCACACTTTGCAGGGGAAATGGTTTTTCCAGAATCCTGAGACATTAGGGTAGACAGAGCAGGACTTTGCAGATAATGAAATAGCCTGTCCTTAATAAATCCTCCACTCCCTTGAAGGAGACTAAGGGGCTCTGTAAAGCATCAGTCAGTTTCTCATTTTTATGGGATTGTTTAGCTGTGGCTCTATAGATGAAGGTGTGGAATAAATTTCCTAAGTATTTTTATTTCTTCAAGACCAAGAAATCAAACCGCTAACCAACTTTTCTCTCTTGAATGTAGATCCCCCTCTTGTGGTAACTTGCTGCTTCTGCACGTTTATACCCACATTTTCTATCGCAGTTCACTTTATTCTGTGGAGCAGCCTGCCAAGAATTTATTCCTGTTGTATTTTGCTGCTAGAGAAAGGAACTAAGTCAGGATATTAACAGAAAAGGCCACATAACCCTAGTATTAGTTAGTAAAGGAATAATTCAAGTCAACCTAGAAACCATTTGACTTTTCTGATTTGTTTCTTTATGAGTCAGTAGGTTGGCAAGGTCGTACCTTAATCTTAATAGAATACTGAGTTGTATTAAAAGTTTTTGTAATAAAATTATTTTGGAAATTCATTCATGTCACTTATTTCTTATCATTCATTTTTCATGCTGTATAAAATTTTGTTTACGATCGTCTCAGCAGTAGGCCTTTAATATGAAAATTGTTGCTTGAATCAATAAGTTAAATCATCTTCGTATATATAATTTATCTTATTCTATTCTCCACTGCCACATTATTACTAGGTAGGAAGACTCTAAGTTGGAGACACTAAATTCCTGAGACGATGAACCACATTAAAGTTACAAACTAAATCTCTGAGCTCTAGCTCCGACTGACGGCATTACTGGTTTACTTAAGAGCTGCCACAATCTGTCCATTCATTTATTCAACAAACATTGATTAAGGATTTGCTAAATGCCAGACACTCTGGTGGGGGCTGAGATGAATAAGAAGAGGTTCTGTTTGGTTATCTATAGTGACCCAAGGGAGAGAGACAGACTGACCAAGATGAAAGCCGCAGTGTCTTTTATCATCTAATCACAGAAGTGATATACCATCGCTTCTCTATTTTCTGTTGGTCACACAGACCATCCCTGGTACAGTGGGGGAGGGGGAGGGGACTACACAAGGGTGTGAATACCAGGTGTGTTAGGCAGACTGGGTAATTCGTAAACAATAGAAGTTTATTTGGCTCATGGTTCTGGAGCCTGGGAAGTCCAAGATTGAGGGGCCACAGCTGGTGAAGGCCTTCTTACTACATCATAAATAACATGGTAGAAGGCATCACATGGTGAGAGAACACACAAGAGAGAACAGCAAGGGGCCAAACTCACTTTTATTAATATAACAGACTCACTCCTGTGATAACAGCATTAATCTGTTCATGACCTAATCACCTTTTAAAAGTCCCACCTCTCAACACTGTTGCATTGGGGATTAAGTGTCCAGCACATCAGTTTTGAGAACACATTCAAACCACAGCACCAGGAGAAGAAGGAATCATTGGAGACATCTTGGATACTGGTCACCACAAGTCGCTACTGTCAAGGTACACATTGTGGAATTAGTGGTTTACCTTTTGGGGATGTTTCAGGAAAATCCCAGAATGGTATAGAAAAACCACCCTCCAAACTGAGATGGCACCAAGAGACAAAAGAATGGCTCAGGCAAGTCCAGCTTGGCAAGTTAGATGAGTTTATTAGAGGTTACTTATACAGGGCTCTCACTCCTAGTCAAGACCAAAGCCACTTGCATTTTGTCAAAAGAAATTACTTTAATTCAAAGGCATGAGCTTTGATTATGAGGTTTTAGGCCTGAGCACAAGATTAGCAATAGAAACCTTTCAAGGCAGCAGGATCTCCCGGCTGCCATCAATTCTCCCAAGAGCTCCTTGAAACTCTCTCATCCGTGTTCTCTGATCCATCCCACTCCAAAGTCTCTACTTTCTACTACTCGTCTCTCCTCTTGTCCTTTGCTGGCTCATCTGCTTTCCTCCAATTCCCTAAGTATAGACTATTAGTCAGGGTTCTCCAGAGAAACAGAACCAATAGCATATTATATATCTTTATATATATATTTATATATATAAAATTAAGTCGGGAATCTGAGGCAGGAATTCATACTGCAGTCTTGAGGCAGAATTATTTCTTCTCTATAAAACCTCAGTTTTTGCTCTAAAGCCTTCAACTGATTTGATAAGGCCTACCTACCATATCAAAGGGAATCTCTTTTACTCAAAGTCAACTGATTGTAGATATTAACCACAACTACAAAATATCTTCACAGCAACACCTAGACTAGCACTTGACTAACTAACTGAATTTTGGTTGAGCGTGATGCCTCATGCCTGTAATCCCAGCAACTTGGGAGGCCAAGGTGGGAGGATCGCTTGAGCGTAGGAGTTCAAGATCAGCAACATGGTGAGATCACCCCTCATCTCTATTTTTAAAAACTAAAGGAAAAAAAAAGAGAAAAAATAACTGAGGACTATAGTCTAGTCATGTTGACACATAAAATTACACATGCTTTGGGGAAAACCGAAACATAGGTTCTCCCCAAAGTTCTCTCCCTAGCCATCTTTTTTCAAAGTCCTCTCCCTTGGTGATTCACATGGAAGTGTAGGAGACAGATCTCAAACCTAACCAATTGAAAATAAATTCTCAGTCCCCCGTCCTCACCCTGCAGACCCTCAAATCAGCTCTTTCATCCCATCTCAAAGTCATTACCAGATGTAAACTCCTTGGTCCTTGTCTTCTCCTGATCCAAGAATGAAAGCAAGAGACAGTTTTGAAGCAGCAAGTGGCGAAGTTTATTAAAGTGAAAGTTCACTCTTAAAGGGGTTAAGAGCAGGCACACATCCCTGCAGACTGCGGCCCTGGGGTTCCTGTGTAATCAGCAAGCGACAGTACACTCCAAAAGGGGTAGGAGCAAGCACACGTCCCACTAGATAGTGGCACTGGGGTCTTTTTGGGTTTCTCCTTTTCTTTCCTGTCTGGCCTCTCCTTCTCCATGATGCCGTCACTTCTCTTTTTTCTTGACCAATGGGGATGTTGTCTCCTTCCTGCTGTCCGGTGGGGGGCAGTTTTTCACCTTCTATGACTAGGCCCAGATGTGGTGTGGTGCCCAAAGCCTACTGTGGGGGAGGGGGCAAACTGCAATGTTGTACAATGTGCCCTGTGTTGTTTCTGTTATGTTTCGTATGACACTTGCAGCTACCCTTATCTTGTTGTTACAGTATGTCCTCTTACTCAGCATCCCATTTATTTATGCTGTTTGCTTTCGTATTTTCTCTGCTCACGTCTTACTTTTCTTACACTAATGTTCTGTGACACTTGGGTTACTCTTATCTTGTTGTTGTTACAGTCTGTTCTCTTACTCAGCACCCCATTTGTTCACACCGCCTCTTCCATACTTCCTCTGCTCACGTCTTACTTTCCTACCTACACTAACAAATGCCTCTTGTTTTAATTCCACAAACTTTGGAGGCATCCCGGATCCTTCTCTTTCTCTCACCTTCTGTACTCAATCCACTAGCAACTCTGTCAGTATTGCCTTTAAAACATATCCAGAATCCAATCACTTCTCACCACCTCTACCGCCACCACCCCAGTCAAAGCCGCCATCCTCTCTCTCCCAGGCTGCTGTAACAGTCGTCTCTTCTGGAGTCCATTCTTTAAAACACAGGTCAGATCACATCACCCTTCTGGTAAAAACCCTTTCAATGGCTTCCACTGTGGCCTTCAGGGGCCTACCTTCTCTGGCCCTCAGCTTCCTCCTGCTCGCAGGTCCTACTTCTCTCCCCTTGGTTCGCCACCTGCAAACCACGCCAACTTGCTCCCAGCCTCCACTTTAACCTCCATGGGGCTTTGGCCCCACTCTTCCCCAGACCTTATGTTTCATTCCTCTTCACTCAGGCACAATGCAGAGAGGCCTCCTTGGGCTCCTACCTAAAGTAGACCCACCCCACACACCCAGTCCCTCTTTATCTCACTGCCCTGTTCACTTTCATCATGCACTCAATCACCAACTGAAAGGATCTTATTTATTTGTTTAATTTCTGTTTCCCAACTGTCACATAAGTTTTATGATGGGTGAGGGGAGGCAGCATAAGGAAGTGGCATCTACTCTCCATGCTCCAGTCTGTGGTGGCCATAAGAATGTGCCTGGCGGACCTCCAAGGACAGGATGTGTCATTGACCAAGGGCCCCCGCTGCTGTACTTGGAAAGCTATTGCCACTTTTGCACCAAAGCCACAAGCATCTTCCACAGGCAGCTCCCAGGCAATGACTGAGCATGGCAAGAATAGTAATGTAGAGCCATTCCTGGGACACACAGGACTCATCTGACAGCTGATCATGGTTCCAGGACTCTCCAATAGCTGGACTTTCCTTAGACTGCACAGCAGAAGCTCTTCCAGCCAACCTCTTGTGCCCTTCCCCTTCATCCAAGTTCAAACTTACATCACGGGCTGAAAACTCTACAGCCTCTTCTGGCTCCCTCTCCATTTTCTCCCACAGGCTTTCCCCTAATAAAATTTGTGTATGTTTAATCTCGTCTTGGCATCCTTTCCTTGGAAGTTCCAGACTTCGAAGTCCACATAAGTGGTACTGAAGCCTGGGTGCAGAGCTCACACCTATAATCCTAACACTTTGGGAGGCTGAGGTGGGAGGATTGCTTGAGGCCAGGAGTTGGAGACCAGCCAGAGCAAGAGTGAGACTGCTTCTATTCAAAAATTAGAAAAATTAGCCGGGCATGGTGGCACATGTCTGTAGTCCCAGCCACGTGGGAGGCCAAGGCAGGAGAATTACTTGAACCCAGGAGTTTGAGGTTACACTAAGTTGTGATGACTGCACTCTAGCCCAAGTGACAGAGCGGGACCCTGTCTTAACAAAACAAACAAAACAAAACAAAACAAGGTCATTGGTGGTGACCTGAGAAAATATCCTGTTGGAGGGGAATGCTGTGGCAGGTGTGATTTTGCAAGCATTTGAACAATATGGGGGCACAATGCCTACAAAGACAGCAGAGTGGGCTGGTTACGGTTAAGTTGTGTTGATGGCCCTGCAGAAGGATAATGAGAAACTGAGGGCTGTTAAGAAGCATTTAATCTCTAAGTACGAGAGTAGGAGAGCCTCAGTGGTAGCTTACAGAACAGTCATTATCTTCCACAGTGGAAAGACAGATACAGTATTGAGCAGCAGGCAGAAAAATCTAACTGCAAGTCTACAGAGCTGCAGAAACATTTGAATGCCCAGCCTAGGCATTTACATACCGAGGTCAGGTATGTAAAGAACAAGACCCTGGTGGGGAAAACCTGGGATCCTGGACCACGGGATAGGGACATCTAGATGGATGCCACTGGGGATGTTTGACTGTGCAAAAGCCCAGAACCTTTGGGATTTCAGAGGCAGCCCAGGCTTCCCTACTAGGTGCTAGCACTTCAGCTGCCTGGGAGATGTTACCAAAGCTTCTCTCTCACAAGGCAAGAGGTGACCCCTCAGGAGTTGTCTCATCTCTGCTCCTCCTTGCTGGGCTGAGAACCAGGGTTAAATCCCAGCTGAAGACATGCTGGGCCTGACAAGGCGGAAGAGACTGTACACAAAAAAAGACTGCAAGACTCAGCTAGCGTGTATGGGTAGGAGCCAGGTGAGTACTCCTGGGGTTGGATTTAGAAGGTGCTTGATCAAAGGGGCCAGAAAGTAAGTCTGGATAAGCAAGAATTCACTGCTTTGAGGATAGATTCTTGGAACATGGTATTTAACACCTAGCAAGGACTCCAGGAAATGGACACACTCACTATGGGATGGCTCTTAGAAGCTTAGAAGAAATAATGGCCAACTCTCAGCAAAGCGGTGGTGCATGCCTGTAGTCCCAGCTACTCTGGGAGGCTGAGGCAGGAGGATTGCTAGGACTATATGGATGACTTCATTTCGAGAGGGTCTAAATTTAAGACCCTTTTTGAATGCAAATTCTGAATTTATAGCCCTCCTGGACTAAGAATAACTTTCCTAATAACTAACATACATGTAGTATTTTACAGTTTACAAAGGTCGTTTAAAATGACTTATGTAATCTTCACAATGACCCTGTGAAGTAACATAATAGGGCTGCTGCATATAGGGCTGTGCAGGTTGTGCACTGCACTAGGGTTCCCAGTTGAGGGGATCTGTGGAAGCTGAAATCCAGCCTCATATTCCACTTACCATGCTGTGTGTCCTGTCCAGAGTCTGTCTATTCCAAGAGGAAAAGGAACTTTCATCTAATTTGCCCAAAGATGCACAGGCAAACAGTAGTCCTGATGATATAATACATACGAAATCATCTTTGTCACCCTTAAAAAGCATGTTAAAGTCCTTCAAAACTATACTGGGTCATCCCTTTGTGCCCTAGTTTTAACACAGATATACCTAATGAGCACCCAAGAGGCTATTGGGACTGCTCTTCACTTCTATTGGAGCAACTGAGAGGACAATGGGTCAATATAATCGCCCTTGTCTAAGAAATTGGAAATAATCATGCCTGCTCTAAATAGGATCAGTGGGTACAGTTACAGAAAGGACAGCACACCAGCTTCCATCTCTGTACCTCCACTTCTTCTTCTTACTCCCATATTTTTTCAATCGGATTTAAACATATTTATTGTTAAAGTCATGTCTGTTTCTTACAGAACTTCTCAAAGTACAGAACATTGTTAGGAAGTAATAGTGAGAAGGAGTGGTGGAAAAGCAAGCATAATTCTACTTCTCAGAGATAAAAATCATCTAGAATGTTAAAAATACTTATTTATAGTTAAGAAATCTGGCAGACACCACCTTAATCAAGTGATGAAGTTAACATCACCAATCATGAAACAAACTGACATTGTGTACTTCCTGATACGATGCACCAAGAAGAGTACAACATCACTTCTGTGTTATTCCTGCCCAAAAGGCATAACTTAAATCTAATCATGAGGAAATACCACACGAACCTCTTAAAAATAAAATTGGAGGCCACGGTTTTTACATACCCCTAGGCCAACCACCCATAGCCATGTAACCAAAACTTTAGCTACCCTAATTTCCCTGAAAATGCTAGCTTTAGCGATAAGCAAACTTGAGGTTCTAGTCCTTGTCAGCAAGATAACATTAAAGCAATACAAATAAGTTCATGCAGCTTTACTTGCACAACAGAGATCAAACCCAAATTGAGGGATATTTTACCAAACAACTGGCCTGTATTCTTAAAAAATGTCAGCATCATGAGAATCTAAGAACAACTGAGGAATCATTCCAGATTAAAGGACATGAAAGGCAATGTAATGCATGATACAGGGTTTTCTTCTGCTATAAAAGGAATTATTGGAACAACTGTTGAAATTCAAATCAGATCTGTAGAATAAATAATAGTAAAAAAATAATAGTATTTATTAATGTTAATTTCCAAATCTTGATAATTATTTTTCAGGTAAGAGAATATCCTTGTTTTAGGAAATACACATTGAAGTAGTTAGGGGTAAAAAAGGGCATCATGTCTGCAACTTGCTTTCAAATGGGGCAGAAAAAAATGTGAGTGTATGTATGTGTGACTGGATATGCGTGTACACACCTATATCTATATCTATATAGAGAGAGAGAAGGGAAGGGAGAGAGAGATAAAGCAAATATGATAAAATATTAATACAAACATTTGGGAAATCAAGACGCAGAGCACTATTCTTGCAGCTTTTCTGTAAGTGTGAAGTTATGTCAAAACAAAACATTTAAAACCTGTGTATTTTTGGATAGTGTCAACCTAAATAACAGAGAGAGGCTCTCTTAAAGAAAAGGATATTTATTTGGGAATAGAGCATTGCAATGGGAATAAGCATGCCATAGTAAACTATATGCATATTCAGAGCGGTAAAGGAAGACAAAGGTTTTTAAAGGAAAAAATGAGGAGGATGGCATAATTATTTTGAAATAGTTATCCTTGGCTACAAAGATTAATAACAAAGTTGAGGTCAGTCCAGGGTTGGGCAGGCAGTTGCTGGACAGGTGCCCTCACAGAAGTATTTTTTGTTATCGGGCATACAAGCATGAGAACCCTCTCTTCATAGTCTTCCCCATCTCTATTTGTAAGAATTGGGTTTTTTTTTTTTTTTTTTTTTGGTTTGTTTGTTTGTTTTGAGACTGGAACTCACTCTGTCGCCCAGGCTGGAATGCAGTAGCCAGATGGTAGCTGGCTCAAGCGATCCTGAGCTGAAGCGATCCCAATCCAGTCTCAGCCTCCCAGCTCATCCAGATTTTTGCTTCCTTGCTTAAAGTTGAGCAAAATTAGTCTCTTACGAATCTACAATTTGTTTTCTATATCTGTGTTTTCCCCCCACTTATAATGTTTTTTATCGTGTCAAGTGTGCATTTTTCTCCCTTTATTTTTGATTAGATAACTATTTTATTAGTTTTTTTGAACCCCTGAATTTATTAGTCGTCTGATATTAGTTTCCTTCATTAATTTCTTCCTTTATCTTCACGAATTTCTTCCTTCTGCTTTCCTCATGAAGCATCTATATATGGTGGTTTTAGTATTTTTATTTTCTAGATATTCTGCAGTTTGTCTTGAGTTTCTCTTTTTCCCAATAGTCAATCAGAACACCTTTTATGGGTTCAGATGGCTTTAAGATTTTTATCTTAGCTTATTTATTTATTTAGTCATCCTTGAGCACACTGAAGAATTTTGTGTCTTGCTCTCCACCCGCGTTTGACTTTTTCCCCACGGCCCGCCTCCCCTACTTCCTCGCAGCTTTCAGGAGAAAGGGCAAGAGGAGGGTTCTTCTCCTCGACGCGAACGAGGGCGAAGGAACACCGCAGACTGCGAGAAGCAGCAGCGGAGCGGCGCCGGGAGACTCAGGACAGACCACGCCAAGGGGCCGAGGAAGAGGTGACCACACCCCCCGGGCTCGCGGCCCGACTGGCCAATCGTCGCCACTGAGCCGGGCTCTGTGCTTTGATTGGTTTTAGCGGAGACGCCCCCGCACACGGGATAGGCCCTTCGCAAGGCTCTGACTTGGATGGTGGCCGGCGGGGGACATTAGGCTCACGCAGCTGAGCGAAGGGTGCGAGACGCAGCCGCTGCTGTGCAGGGGAGCCGGAGCGGCGGGGTCCCGGGGCTATGGCGGCGGCCTCTGCAGTGTCGATGCTGCTGGTGGCGGCGGAGGCGAACCGGTGGCAGCGTCTCCCCTGCCTGCTGCTGCCGCCCAGGTGGGTGGAAGGGCTGGGGTGGGGGGACGAATGGCCCCATGTGAGCGGTGGGAGGAGCGGAGGGACGGAGAGTCAGGGTGCGGGGAGGACGGAAGGAAAACTCTAGCTTCTTTAGCGGGATTCTGCTGTCAGTCCCGGCATCGGGAGGGAGACATCCTCACACCTAGCCCTTGCCTTTCTTCCCTCTTCCCCACATCCACCCTACTGCCCGCCATTGGCTTCCGTTTTCCCATTTATGAGGACTGCAGAGAGGTGGAGCTGGGCCTGCCATCTTCCAAGCTCCTGTAGACATTTGTATAGCTCTTAACTGTTTACGTTGTGCTTTCGCAGCATTCACAGCATTCCTTGTGTGGGGAGCATTGTTATAACTCGGTTCTGATGAAACCCAAAGAGATCAACGACTTAGCCAGCTTTATACGACTAATAAGAAATGGGGCCAGGATGCCTTCAAAGTCCCTTTCAGTTCAGCTATCGCCCATCAGATGTCCAGAGAGACTCCTGGAGTTCTTTCCCGTTGTTACAATGTCAACTATCAAGAGCAAATGTATCTTCCAGAGGGCTGGGAAGTTGTTTTGTCAAGAGCTCTTGCCTTGTACCTAAGTTTGAACAGAGTTATGAGGTGACTGACTCTAGCTAAGCTGACTCCAGATTAGTTTCAAATTTTGAGCTCTAAGCTTCTGTGACAATAACTTTGGCAGTGAAAACACTTTCAGGCTTGTAGATAGTTTGCTTTTTTATCTCCCTTTGCTTCATCATTATCATCATCGTCCATCATTCTGGAAAGATAGTATAGCTTGGAGCTCAAGGGCACGGATTCTGCAATCAGAAGGCTGGGGTCTCAGCTTAGCTACTCACTAGGTGTGTGACTTTGGGTAAGTTACTTAATATCTCTGCTTCAGTTTCCTCACCTAGAAGGAGGTGATGATGCTGGTGTCTAGAGGAGATAATACTAGTACATTAGGTTGTGCAAATTAAATGAATTAACACATGGAAAGAGGTTTAAACTGAATCTGGTACATATGAATCAATCCATAAATGCAGCCTTTGAAGACTCCACCATTTAGATCAACTTTTTCATTTGCTTTTATTTTCCACAAGTTACTATAGATGCCTTGGATTTTCAGTTACTTAATTGTAGGATTAGCCCCAGAGAAAAATAAGGAAGTTGGTGAAAGGTAATGTTAGTGTTCTTGTTTTTTTTCTTCTTCTTCTGAGATGGAATCTCATTCTCTTGCCTGAGCTAGAGTGCAGTGTCATCATCATAGCTCATTGCAACCTCCAACTCCTGGGTACAAGTGATCCTCTTGCCTCAGCTTCACCAGTAGCGGGGACTACAGGTACACACCACTACACCTAGCTAATATTTCTATTTCTGTAGCGATTGGGTCTTGCTGTTGCCAGGGCTGGTCTTGAACTCCTGGCCTCAAGCAATCCTCCCACCTCAGCCTCTCAAAATGCTAGGATTACAGGCGTGAGCCACTACACCCAGATAGTGTTCTTTTCTTTCTCTGGATTTTTCTTTTCTTAGGTTCCCAGGGCTCTTCAGGATACTACCACAAACCCACTTTTTCTCTTCTCTCTCAAAGCTTAGCTATTGTCAATAGAACTATGCTCAAGTATGTGTCACCCTGAAAAGTGTTAGAATTATTAATGGCTTATAGAATTAAAAATCTCATCAGTACAGAAGATTTCATATTTGTTTTTATGCCATGATTCTCTAGTAACTCAGAGAAAAGAATCTCTAGTGGTAGAATTATAGACATGAGAATAGACTGCTAATGGGGAAGCAACTTCCTAATCGTGTTGTTTAAGCCGTTGTTCTAAGTTGTAGCTTAGATAATTGTGAAAAAATGGAATAGCCCAATACTCATCAGAACATTGTTGGGATAGAGGATCTTCATGGATTTCTATCTAGTTAAGACACTTCAAACAAGTCATTTTGCCTCTTTCTTTCTCCATTTTCTTTTAATATTAATATAAGGACTTGAAATAGGATTATATACTTTTAAAACTGAGGGGTATCTTCAAGATCACCTCTTTTAGTCTCCTCTCTAGTGTGAGAACACTAAAGCCAACATATGACGTTTATATCCTCAACTGGGATAATGTTGCCTCTACAGGGGTGAAAATTGGTTCGTGGGAGAGCCAGAAAATCTTAGATGTTGTCATGGTTTGTGGCCTTCCAACATTCAGCCCTACCTATCCCTTCCTACAAGGAATAAAATTTTATTTATGTAAGTTTTCTCATTAGGAGGGTAATAATGAGAAAAAGGTTGAGAAACACTCATGTAAAATGACTTGACCCAGGACAAGCTGGTCGTTGGAGGGACTTGGATGAGAGATCAGTTCTTCTGGCCCCATGACCACCATTCTTTCTGTTGCCCTTGTTTGGCCACCTTCCCTTTACTTCTCTGGTCTTAATTTTCAAACCTGTCTTATCAGAGGATTAAATTCAATTAGTATTTTTCAAACTGTAGATTGACCAGCATATTTTATTTAATAAAATAGAACAGAAAGTATCAAAATACAGTGTGAGTCATCTTTCATGAAACTTCTGTTTTAATTCTGTGTATACTGGGTAGTTTTTATTGTAAGTTGTAGTCAAAAAAGTTTGAAAAATGCTGAACTAGATTATCTTGAAGTACTTTGGTTTTTTAATCGTCTCTGACTCTGTGGTCACATGCCAGCCTCTGGAACAAACGGGTTAGGTGACTCCTTCAAGGACAGGTAGTGCAAGGGGAAAACAGCCAGAACCCTTGCTCCTGATTTGTAGATTAGTTTTCTTCCAGAAGGTCTTCCTAAGTCACTTTCTTAGTAGGCCTACTTTTTGTTATTAGGCTTCTTAAAGTTTCAAGAAATTTAAATTCTTTTGAAAGAACAGCGACTAGTCTTAAATATTCTGTTCAGTTATTATTCCATTTGGATTTATGTTATAGGAGATGGGCTTGGATGCAAAGAACCATGAAGTATGCAACAACCACAGGTACTGGCAGACTTTGTTGTACTATTTGGTTTTTGCTTGAGATTGTGAACTAAGGTAGGGAAATATTTAACATCTTAATCTGTGCATAATAGAATTAGTTCTCACAAATTTTGGATTTTTGTGATAATTTTCTTAGTATTAAGTGATGGTTTTCACCTCTTTTTTATAAAATTTCTCTTGCTATTGAGTCTAAAATATAGAGAGTAATAATGGAGAACATTCTATATTCCTGTTGCTATTACCGTTTGACCCTCTTAGTGTATTGGATTGGAAAAACGTAACTATGATGATCTAAATCAATGCTTTTAAAAGTTCTTTTAAGTAGGAGAAATTTTTTTTCACATAGAATTTTACGTGGAATTCCTAGCTATTAAACATATAAAAGTACAATAAAAGTATACCTTCCGGTCCACTGAGTGTAGCCCTCTAGCTACCCTGCTTTCCTTCCCCCACCCACACGCATACATACTTCATCCCAGCAGCCCCCGTGACCTGTGACAATTCTTGGGCTCTGTAGAGCCCAATGAGGATTGAAAAACACTGTTTTAAATTATATGAAACCTTATTTTTTGAGAAGAAATAACTTCATTATAAACTATCAAAGAACATTTATTTTGTGTGTGATGATAGAAGTGCATTTTTATATGTATTAATGCAATGGCATGTTATTATGGCACTGATGCCAGTAGACTGGTGCAATGGTCATTTACATTGTGAGAGAACCACACTTCTCTGTGTACATGGGGATAGGGGAAGTGGAGCAGAGTGACCAAGAGCTCAAATTCTGGAGTGAGGTAGACCTGGGTTCAAATCCTGGATCCATCACTTTTTTTGTCTGTATAACTTCGGGAAAATATTTCTTTCAGCCTTTGTGTCTTCATCTTTAAAACTGAGATAATGATAATATCTATTTCATTAGGATTATTGTGAGAATTTAAGTCCAGTTTGAATCTTTAGCACAGGACCTTGGGTTATAGAAAGTACTTATTAAAGATTAGTTATTATTAACTGTGATGATTTTTTTAAGCTATTATAATTTGATCCTCGGCATAAGAAAGAATCTTTTAATTTATTTTAAGTTGCTAAAGCTGAGTAATTTAAGAGTTTATATTAAGGGTATCTAAAATTTCAATGAAGAGAAATGCACAGTTTAGTATTAGCCAAAGTGGGCCAGGTGCAGTGGCTCACGCCTATAATCCTAGCACTCTGGGAGGCCAAGATGGGAAGATCGCTTGAGCCCCAGGAGATTGAGGTTGCAGTGAGCTACGATGATGCCACTGCACCCTCCCTGGATGACAGAGTGAGACTCTGTCTCAAAAAAAAAAGAGTTAGCTAAAGTGGTCTATTTAGGCTCTGTTATGCTGATTTTACCAAAACAAATTCTTGTCAGCTGGTTAATATCATATTCACATTCTCATTCTTTGCTTCCTAGTAATGTTTGTATATGATTTCCATGGTGTTTTAAACAGGAAGAAACATTACCAAGGTCCTCATTGCAAACAGAGGAGAAATTGCCTGCAGGGTGATGCGAACAGCCAAAAAAATGGGTATACAGTCTGTGGCGGTTTATAGTGAGGCCGACAGGAATTCCATGCATGTAGATATGGTATGTTGTTAAAGACTGGAAGCCAAGTCTTGTAAGTGATCATGTTTATCTGTTTACTGTTACTGTTTACTGTGGGCAGGTCTATGCACACCTACCCCCAAAGTCCAAGGAAACTGAGAGGCCAAGGAAAGAGGCCGACATATCCCACTTCTCAGAAAGAAACATTTAATAGGGACTTAGGAACACAAGCCATGTCTCGGGCAATGAGAAGATGAGATGGTGGACACCCATGCCGTTACCCGCCAGACGCAGGGCTTATGTACCATAGGGAAGGAATGTGTAGGACAATTGAAGTCAGTTCCTTGGGGAGGGGCAAGAATGCTATGTGAATCTGCTTAAGGACAGGATTTTCAGGCAGGGTTGTTCTGATCTAAGGGCAGAATTTATGGTAAAGTGGAAATCTTAAAGGCATTCCCAGAACAGGGGTTAATCAGAAGTCAGCATGGCAGATCAGCATCTTAGGTGGAGTTGCTTTAACCTCCACATATGTCAGTATTTTAGTTCTTTATGATGATAGTTGATATTTGCTAGTGTTAACAGGATTTAAATAGTAAGTTCAAACTGTTTACCAGTAATTCTTCTTGGGGAAATTTTCCAAACATAATAGCAGTTGAACTAAACAATGTGCTTAGTGGTATAATTGCTTTATAGTCAAGATCCTTGTCTCATCGAGGATTGGTTAAAACAGTTTGTAGACTGTAGCTGATCCACAGACCACACTTTGAGTAGCTGGTGTCCAGATCCCTGATGTACCAGGAGAGGCTCTATTCTTATCAATTACCATTTACTGGCCAAATGATCTTAGATAAGTCACTTTATGTTTCTGAGCCTTGGTTTATCTGTAAAATTGTAACTAAAAAGTCCCAACTCCCCTGAGGTTGTAAACATTATCAGTTATTGCTAGCTGTTATCCACCAGACAACCCCAGCCATGGGTAAATTCAGCTTTTGGCCTTCACTATGCCTGCAGCAGGGTGAATTCCTGGTGACCAGCTTCACCTGACCTTTCATCTCTGCACAGCAGGCCCATGTGGTTCTCTAGCCGCTCTCTTTCTCATTCTGTGCAGTGACTATTTCAAACTTGTTTTGCTTTGTTCCAACCTCTAATTCTCCCTCTAACCACCTATTCTCAGCAGATGAGCTTGATTTCACAGAGAAAATAGAAGTAAACTTCCTGCCACAGAATCTGCTGACCTGCCTACACCCGCATCAATTCTCTTCTCATCCAAGGCTAGTGCTCTGGATTCTTTCTCTTCTTGCTTTTTTAAGAAGTATCCCCAAATAGCTAAGACAATAAAATTCAAATGTCTCACCATAAAAAATGATAGGTTAGCAAGGTGGTGAGTATGTTAATTAGCTTGATTTAATCATTCCACATTGTATACAGATATCAAAACATCACATTATACCCCATAAATGTATACAATTATGATTTGTCAATTAAAATATTAATAAAAAATAAAAATGATAAATTATTATCTCAAAAAAAGGCATCTTCCATTTTTACTATGTTTACTCTCTACTGGATCCTTCCTAAAAGCATTTAAATATGGTGGAGTCTCTCCATCTTCATAACTATTATAGCCCCACGTCCCCCCTCCCCACTTACCATTCTTTCTTTTCCCATTTATTGCCAATTTAAGAATCATTTGCCCTCTTTCCTCTTCCCTACCGCCAATCCTTTTCTCAACCCACTCCTGTTGACCTTATGTCCTCACTCTTCCGTTGACATTGTTCCTGCTGCTAACGTCACTAATAAAGTCCATGTCCCTAAATCTGATAGAGTCTTTCTAGGCCTGAGCTGACTTGACTTCTCAGCACATTTTACACCCTAGTAAACTTACTGCCTCCTTTTAAAAATAAATTCTGTGGCTTTCCAGACCTCTTGCCTTTCTCTCCTCTCTCAATGTCCTTCTTCTGGACACTCCCCATCTGCCAGACCCTTAATGTTGAAGTTCCTCAGGATTCGGTCCTTCACCTCCTTCTTTTCTCACTGTATACTCTCATTCTAGATAATTTCACCTACTCCTATGGCTTTGCAAAAAAGCTCCCAAATTTCTATTTCTAGCCCAGACTTTGTTTTGAGCGTGTTGCATGTATATTCAACTGCCCACTTGACATCAACACTTTCATATGTCACAGTTACCACAGTAATATATCTGAAATTGAATTCAGGACTTTCATCTGTACCAAACCTGCTTTTCTTGTAGGTTTCCCTAACCCCAGTAGACGCCAACACCATCGCTCATAAAAATAATGCCAAAGATGTAGGAGTCTTTGAACATCTTTCCCTCTTCCTCCCCACTCTGAATCCTTCACCTCTTCCCTCTCCATCTAGAAAATAACCAAGTGCTGTTAATTCTACTTTCCAAACATTTCTTTCTACTTCTTTCCACCCTCTCCCACCTTTACCTTAAGTCAAAGCCACTGTCATCTCTTGCTTGGTCAAATGCTGTAGCCTCCTAAGTAGTCTCCCTACTTCCATTCTTGACTGCCTCCCACAGTCTATTTTCTGCATTTCAGCCAAATTGAGAGTTTAAAATAAAAATTTGATCATGCTACTCCTTTGCTTTAAATGTTTTAAACCTTTATATAATCTACCAGATTAGCAATAATTTAAAAGATAGATAATATTCAGTGTTGATGAAAGTGGTTAGAAATTGGTATGTCGATGGAAATGTATATTGATAAAACCATTTCAAAAGCTGATTAACCAGGAGCTATTAAAATGTACATACCCTTCAACTCAACCGTGTAAACATTCTGTCCTAGAGACCTGCTCACATATATGTGCAAAGAGAGGTATATACAAGAATGTCTGTGTCAGCCTTGCCCACATTCAATGAAGTGCACCTTAAAAGGTGCATGATTGAATGAACTATGGTACCTCTGTACTGCGAAACATTATGCAACTGTTATACAAAATGAAATAGACGTATGAGTTTTAGCAAGGAAAAAGCTTCCAAGACATACTGTTAATGAAAAAAGCAGTTGCAAAGGATAACTATATAGTGTGATTCTGTTTGTGTAAAAACCAAAACTATATGTGTTTATATAAATATATATGAATAAATAGGAATATGGATACGGAAAAATATGTCCCACATTGATCATAGTGGAAGTTATATCTAGAGGGCGATTGCGACTCGGGGGAGGGGTGCCAAAGGGCTACTTTGCGTTTGTGTTGTTATTCACATTCTTTAGAATGAGAATGGACTTGTGTTTTGTGGAATTAGAAGTTAAAAAAAAAAATTTATAAAAACCCCTCTTTATGTGCTCCCTTAGGAAAAAATCCAAAGCTTTTTAACGTCTCACAAAGCTCTATGAAATCTGTGCCCAACTTTCTGTCCACTGTCATCTCTGGCCCCGTGACCCCTCACTCACTGTAGTCCAGCACATGGGCCTCCTTCAGTCCCTCAGGTGGGCCAGGTTTCTCCCCACCTTTGTGTTTTCTCTGCCCCATCTCCATTCCTGTTTCCAACTCCACAGTCTCCATCCATTTGCCAGGCAAAGTCCTCATCATCCTTGAGGAGCCTTCCCTGACCTTCCCTCCTAGGCTTTTCCATACCACCCTCAGACCAGATCAGGTCTTCCTCTTACATCCTCTGTGCCCTTGGGTTTTCCTTCGTAGCCTTTATCACAGTTGTCATTAAGGGTGTGAATATGTTTAATGTCTCTCCCTCCATACAGGGACATTTGTTTGCTATGGTACAGGCAGCTCTCACCTCAAAGTGTGGCGTGTTCTAGGCATTCAGTGAGTCTTTGAATGAATGAATGAGGGAATGATGCGTTCTATCTGGTCTACATCAGGGGATGCTGTAATTATGTGAAAGCTTTAAAGGATAGTATAAAATAATTCACAGATACATGGAAGGAAGGAGCATTATCATCATACTTTATATAAACTTCAGTAAACTGTAGTTTTTTTCTTGCTATATACATCTGTGGTATATTTTGTTTCTATTGTCAAACTGTAAATTTTTGACATTAAGTACATTTAAGGTTATTGTTGTTGTTAATAATAATAAATACCATGACTAATGCATGAGGCTTTCTATCCAAAGACACTTTAATTTCACTCCAGTGTGTGGTCTATGAATGAAAATAAAATTTTCTCATAACATAGATATGAGCTGGTACTTTAGTTTCTCAATTCTTGTACTGTTCTTTGGGGGATGGTATTTTTATTTATAATAATAAAATGACCCTAAAACAGTTCTCTGTGGTGTGTGAGTATGTAGTAGCCATGTAGTCTTTTAAGCATATAATGTTTTCTAAACAGGCAGATGAAGCATATTCCATCGGCCCTAGTCCCTCCCAGCAGAGCTACCTTTCTATGGAGAAAATCATTCAAGTGGCTAAGATCTCTGCTGCGCAGGTGAGAGTTGTGAAGAGATTTGCAATGCAAAAGAAATAAGTTTTGTACAATTTATGCAAAATTACTTATTTATAGAAATTATTTTCCATTTTTAGCCATTCTTAAGATTTTCACATTTCATTATTGGATTGTCATTGTAAACTAGGCATGTCCCTTCTCATTCCTCAGCCACTCTGCCTTTTTACTGAATCCTGTGTACTTAGATTTTTGGCGAAATAGGTAGAGGGAATGTCTAAATTATAAATTAAAATTAAGAGAGAGTTCAACTCTTTAGTACCTTCAGAATTAGATGCTCCCACCAGATCCTTTGGGAGAAATAGGTGGTGCTCTAAATTATAAGCCTTCTTTGCCTTTTTTTTCCTTCTCTTTCCTCCCTTTTTGCTGTCAGTGTGTTTACTCTTAGAGATCTTGCTGTCTTGTAGTTACTGATTTTCCTTTCCTATGGGTTAGAAAACCAGATAAGTAAATTTGTTAAAATTCTCAGGAAATTAGAAGTGACCAGGCTAAGGCCGAGCACGGTGGTTCATGCCTGTAATCCTAGCATCTTGGGAGGCCAAGGCGGGAGGATCACTTCAGGCCAGGAGATCAAGACCAGCCTGAGCAACATAGTGAGACCTTGTTTCTACAAAGAATATAGAAATCAGTTGGGCGTGGTGGTGTGCGCCTGTAGTCCAAGCTACTGGAGAGCCTGAGGCAGGAGGATTGCCAGGAGTTTGAGGTTGTAGTGAGCTGTGGTGACACCACTGCACTCTAGCCTGGACAACAAAGTGAGACCCTGTTTCAAAAAAAAAAGTGACCAGGCTAAAGTCTTAGGGGTTCCCTTTTCACTAAAGTATATATAGTAGTCCCTCTTATCCATGGTTTTGCTTTCAGCAGTTTCAGTTGCTATGGTTCAAAATGTTAAATGGACAATTCCAGAAATAAACAATAAGTTTTAAATTGCATGTCATCCTGAGTAGCGTGATAAGATCTCATACCATTTGCTTCATCCCTCCTGGGATACAAATCATCCCTGTGTCCAGCTTTTCCATGCTGACCCTGCCACCCACCCCTCAGTCACTTGGTCTCTGTCTCATTTACCAGATTGATTGTCACAGTATCACAGTGCTTGTGTTCTAGTCACCCTTACTTTACTTGATATGGCCCCAAAGCACAAGAGTAGTAATGCTGGCACACGAGATGCGCCAAAGTGAAGCTTTAAAATGCTGCCTTTAAGTGAAAAGGTGAAGAGAGAAAGGAAAGAAAAAAAACACTTACGCTGAGGTTGCTAAGATCTATGGTAAGAATGAATCTTCTATCCATGAGGAGGGTGAAGAAGGAAAAAGAAATTTGTGCTACTGTGCTGTCGGACCTCAAACTGCAAAAATTGCAGCTACAGTGCATGATAAGTGCTTAGTTAAGATGGAAAAGGCTTTATGGGTGGAAGACACGAACAGAAACATGTTCTGATCGATGGCAGTCGAGTTCAGTAGTATCCATAGTTTCAGGCATCCACTGGGCGTATCCCCCATGGATAAGGGAGGCTACTGTAGACTTTAATATATGACTGTTTGCTTCTTAGCTTTTTTCTGAAAAGATGACATTGGCAGATAGTGGCCTGAAGATAAATAAGGAATTATTGTGCTAGTGTGATCTTTTCAGCTTTTGGATATCATGGTTTCATTTCTAGGCCAGTTTTGCATGGAGACAGTAAACAGATCCCCTTTACTATGCGGAAGCCCTTTACTCCTTGACAATCTACCCTAATAGCAATAATATTTTAAATTAAGATATATATTCTTCTGTACCATATGATCCAGCAATTCCATTTCTAGGTATATACCTAAAAGAATTTAGAGCAGGAACTCAAACAGTTACTTATACACCAATGTTCATAGCAGCATTATTCATAATAGCTAAAAGGTTGAAGTAACCTACATATCCATCAATAGATGAATGGATAAACAAAATGTGGAATATACATACAGTGGAATATTATTCCACTTTAAAAAGGAATGAAATTCTGTTACATGCTACATGAATGAACCTTGAAAACATTATGCAGATGAAATAAGCCAGACTCAAAGAGACAAATGTTGTGTAATTCCGCTTACATAAGATACGTAGACTAGGCAAATTCATAGAAACAGAATGCAAAATAGAGGTTACCAGGGACCTGAGAGAAGGAGGAAATGAGGAATTATGTTTGGGATGATGAGAACATTCTGGAGATGGATAGTGGTGATGGTTGCACAATATTGTGAATGTACTTAATGCCATGGAATTGTATATTTAGAGTTGGTTAAAATGGTAAATTTTATGTTATATATATTACCAGAATAAAAACAAATATAGATTCTTCTGGTTTAGGTAAAGCTTCAGAGTTTTAGTATGAATGTTTCAGATATTTCTTTGGAAACAGATTTTGATAGAGACCAGAGTGTACCTATTACCAGTGTAGGGAGAGGCCTCCTCGGAGGAAGACAACTTCGCCTGCATGGAAGCTTTGCTAGTTAAGCACTAACTAGTAAGTTTGTTATTTTATTTCTCACTCTTAGGCTATCCATCCAGGATATGGTTTTCTTTCAGAAAACATGGAATTTTGTGAACTTTGTAAGCAAGAAGGGATTATTTTTATAGGTCCTCCTTCATCTGCAATTAGAGACATGGGTATAAAAAGGTATGAGTTTATGTCTTTTTAAATATAACCATATGAAGATCAATTGAAATTGTTTATTTTACCTGTAATAGGTATTTTAATTATACTCTTTTGTTGCCACAGGAATAAGTTATTTATCTGCAACAAAGGGAAATGCCATTGAGTTACATAAAATAGTCAATGTTTATAATCAGTATATTACTTTGCTTTTTTTGGATAAAAATAAGGTGGGATGAACTACTACATGAAATGAGGAAAACTAATAGACATTTTAATGTTAGTGTTAATATTTGTCGTCTCAGACTATAATCTTTTCTTTTTACCTGTGGGATTTTTTTAAGAGAATTCCATCATAATTGATAGATTGGAAAGTATTTGTGTTTCTCTTGAATGATATTATTCATAGAATTGGGGTGTCTTGTTTTTTGGGTTTTTTTTTTTTTTCCTCTAAAGCACATCCAAATCCATAATGGCTGCTGCTGGAGTACCTATTATAGAAGGTTATCACGGCGAGGACCAATCAGACCAATGCCTGAAAAAACATGCTGGGAGAATCAGTTACCCTGTCATGATTAAAGCCGTCCGTGGTGGAGGAGGAAAAGTAAGATTGTGTGTGCTTGTGTTTGCCTTTCAAGCTAGTCTTCTTTGTTTCACTCACGTTGTAGTCCTAACCATCTTTTCTCTCTTAGGGTATGAGGATTGTTAGATCAGAAAAAGAATTTCAAGAAGAGTTAGAATCTGCGCGGAGAGAAGCTAAGAAGTCTTTTAATGATGATGCTATGTTGATCGAGAAGTTTGTGGAAACACCAAGGTGGGTTGAGCTTACTTTTCTGACTCACAGACTTTTAAAATTAAGTTATAAAGTAATGCATACACATTCTATAAAATATAAAATTGTAACAGTACATAAATACATTAAGTTTCCCAATCCCACCCCCTGAAGTAACCTGATTACATGATGGAATGCATTCTTCCACGTATTTTCTATGTGAATAGAAGCATATGTACATATGCAAACAGAAAACAAAATACATACCTAAGAATAGTAAATAGAATCATATATATTATACACTAATATTATAGCATATTATATACTAATATTGTATCATGGTTAATATCTTTCCATGTCAGCAAATATAGATCTACCTCATTCTTTTTATTGGTTGCTTAATGGTTTCATGATACTGGTATACCCATTAATTCATTCAGTCTATTTCTTGTTGATGGAATTTAGGGTTTTTCAATATAAAAAAATTCTTATAATAAATTAAGCTATATTTAAAGAACTCTGTGAGCATCACAGAGTTCAGAAATGGAAATTACCCAAATTGAATTTAATTATAAATGGTATGTTAATAAATAATAATAATAGCTGCTGATGCTTATATAGCACTTACCATGTGCCAGATTCTAAGTATTTTGCATATACTAAATAATCTTGCTGTCCTTCTAATTCTAATCAGATTCTTACAACAACGCTATTAGGTAGGTATTATTCTCGTTTTGCAGGTGAGGACACTAAGCATCAGAGTGGTCATGTTAATTGTATGAGGTCACTCAGCTATTGAGGGGTAAAGCTGGGATTTGATCCTGGCACTTTGACTCCAGAGTTCATACTCTTCATGCCACTGTACTAAACTGTTTGTCTAGGTACTGCTGTAGCAAATGTGATGGGGATTTCTAAATTTTTTTGTTTTCTGGAATTTTATTTCCAAGACTGTTGTTTAAAATAATATATTGGGCCGGGCGCGGTGGCTCACGCCTATAATCCTAGCACTCTGGGAGGCTGAGGCGGGCGGATTGTTTGAGCTCAGGAGTTCGAAACCAGCCTGAGCAAGAGCGAGACCCCATCTCTACTAAAAATAGAAAGAAATTAATTAGACAACTAAAAATATATAGAAAAAATTAGCCGGGCATGGTGGCGCATGCCTGTAGTCCCAGCTACTCGGGAGGCTGAGGCAGGAGGATCGCTTGAGCCCAGGAGTTTGAGGTTGCCGTGAGCGAGGATGACACCACAGCACTCTAGCCTGGGCAACACAGTGAGACTCTGTCTCAAAAAAAAATAATAATAATAATATATTGATTATAAAGTTTCTTCTTTCATAGATTTTGTTGCAATTGTTAAAAAATTATATAACCTGTAAATCAAGTGAAAAGAATAATTCATTGGGGAACTATGACAAGAAAGGGATTTTCCCTGAAGATAATGAACTTGAAGCTCCCAGCCCTTCCCTTGTATGCACATTTTCTAAGACCCTGACCTAACTTTGTATTTGCGATTATTTATTTTTCTTCTTAAAGAAGTTCGCCTAATTTTTTTTTTTGTTTCAGTCCCTACAAACCTTGGAACTCTCCCTGAGAGTAGCATAGTAAATGAAATTCAGTTAGAGTTTGATGGTAAAAAAAATCAGTCTTAAAGTAGGTCAATGGATTAGGAGAAGTAAGGCAAAAGTGGAGGAGGTTCTAAGGTAAACTTGAAGCTTCCTTCCACAATATCTTTCAAAAAAGAATACGCTAACCAAATTAGCCTGCTCTTGAGTTAGCCTTATGGAGATATCAGCTAGTTATTTCAGTGACTATAACTCAATGCCTGCAACATTTTTTTTCTTTTTTTCACTTTAAATTTTTCTATCATTTTTTAAATTTATCCTTTCTTTGCTGTCACCTATTTATCCAAGATATAACATTTTTGAAGATGTAAATTCTTTACTTATGAAATGTTAGCTATACATTGTAATTTATTCCTCCAATAGCTGGAAAGCTCCTGAGAATCAAGGACCTGGTAGTATATTTAAGTATTAGCATTTCTGTATACAGTCGTGTTGTCACTTAACAATGGTGATACGTCCTAAGAAATGCATCATTAGGTAATTTCATCATTGCACAAACATCATAGAGTGTACTTCCACAAACCTAGATGGTTTAGTCTACTACACACACCTAAGCTATATGGCATGCTCCTATGCTACAAACCTGTACAGCATGTTACTGTACCAAATACTGTAGGCAATTATGACACAATGGTAAGTACTTGTTTATCTAAACATAGAAAAGGTAATACATTGCACTATGACATTGTGATGGCTCTGACATCACTAGATAATAGGAATTTTTCACTTCTGTTATAATCTTATGAAACCACCATCATATATGCAGTCTATTGTTTGTCAAAATGTCGTTGTGTGGCATGTGACCATATTTCTATTCTGTATTTTCTAGTAATAACATTTGAATATCATGATAATTATAGTATGTATACTTTATATCCTGCTAAATAATTGCCCATTGGATTAATGGAGTGACAGAAGTTTGTCAAGGTGGTGCCAATAACTGAGAAAAATAGATATCAAGATGTTTTACAGCTCTGATGTTTTACAGTTCTGATCAGAACTATTAAGTATATCTGAAAGACTGGGAAACCATCTTTAAAGTATACTGTTTTAGAGGGAAAAAAGAAATCAGAGTCCTTCCTCAGTTCATATTCAATATACTAGATGGATTAAAAAGGTAAATAGGAAAATAAAAATTTTATAACCCTTAGGAAAATATCAAGGCATTCCTGGTGGACTCCAACTGCATCTGTCTATGTCTCTATCTTGCCAGACTCCACCAGTGGCTAAATTGGAGCAGCTGGGATTCGATGCATTTCTTGGTTCTCAGACTCTTGTAGACACTATGCTGCAGAAACTGTGAGTTGGATAAAGCAGCACAGAAAAGGATCAGTCAGAGAAGGGAAAATAATGAGTGACTTAATGACTACGGAAGTCAAACAGAGAACACAGATCTTCACTGAGCTTCCCTTGGAAGCAGCCAAAGGAAAAGTGTTTCCCACTTTTGAGAACTTAGAATAGAGCTGCTCCATGCTCTTGGTGTGGCCCACACATGTTCCCTTCACAACCTGGAATTCCTGCTGTGGCATTTCTTTCCCTGGAGTAGCTAAAAAAAAAAAAAAAAAGGAAGAGTCAGTGGACATGGTAGAATTTTACAGTTGAAATTTGAAAACAGACACTTCAGCTCCAACATGTAAAGAGCTTGGCAGTCATCACTCACATCCAAAAAGCAAGAAAAAGCCTAAACAAAATGAAAGTTCAATGACTTTTAGACCCAGCAGAGAATGGAGGCCACAGGACAAACCGCCACTCTGGAATCTGGATAGGCAGTATGAATACAGCGAATCATAGCCAAGATCAGCTTACCTGGATCAGCAGCTGCTGAAACCATAACATTTATTTTATTTTTTTTCTAACCCTTCTCCCACCCTTTGAAGCTATAACATTTAAATGGGAATTTTGACAAATGGCTGGTGGTTGAGTGTGAGCTAGCTTGAAAGTGAGAAACTCCTTGGGGCCCAGTCTTAGGAGGACCTCCCACTTTCATGTTTTTTGCCTTTGGGAACCTCACCAGCTTCTCACAGTAAAAATTGGAGAAAAATTCCCTCATGTTTTGGGGTAGTGAGAGAAGAAAAGTAACCATTTTGATATAGGCCCAGAATATTCTACTCTCCTTCATAAAAGAAATACTAACTCCAAAGGAAATGTTACCAGAGCTTTTTCTGTCCTGAGGAAAAGGTAGATAGCCAACTCTAACCCCCTCTAGCCTTCCTATTTCCTGGGGGAGAAAAGAAAAAAAAGGCTAAGAAGGTCAGATGCAGTGGCTCACGCCTGTAATCCTAGCATTCTAGGTGGCCAAGATGGGAGGATCTCTTGAGCTCGGGAGTTCGGGACCAGCTTGAGCCCTAAGCAAGAATGAGACCCTGTTTCTACTAAAAACAAAAAAAAAAATTAGCTGGGCATAGTGACGCATACCTGTAGTTGCAGCTACTCAAGAGGCTGAGGTAGGAGGATCACTTGAGCCCAGGACTTTGAGGTTGCTGTAAGCTAGGTGATGCCACGGCACTCTAGCCTGGGCAACAGAGCAAGACTCTGTCTCAAAAAAAAAGGGGAGGGGTGGTAAGAAACACTTCTGAAGGTCGCAGCACAAACACAGGCCGACTAAAAGACTGAGAATTAATCGTAAGATTATAGAATGCTTTCCCTCCCCCAGACTACTATGGTCTGAATATTTGTGTCCCTCTAAAAGTCACATGTTAAGACCTGACCCTAAAAGGTGAGGCCTTTGGGAGGTGATTATGTCATGAAGGCAGAGCCCTCATGAATGGGATTAGCATCCTGATAAAAGTGCTTAAGGAAGCCTATTTGTCCCTTCCCTCTTGTACCATGTGAGGACACAGGAACAAGGTACCATCTATGAGGAATAAGCCCTCACCAGAAGCCAGATTTGCCAGTGCCTTGATCTTGGACATCTCAGCATCTAGAAATGTAAGAAATAAATTTCCATTATTTATAAATTGCCCAATTTAAGGTATTTTGTTATAGCAGTCAGAAGAGACTAAGAAACACTAGGGCCCTAGTAGAATACCAATGGATTACAACTGAAGGAGCTATAAAACACAGACTCTATTTAAGGAGTTCCTAGGGAAACCAAAGACACCAGGTTAAAAACAAAACAAAACAAGCATGCTAGAGGAAAGTGAGACTTCTGGCACCTACACTGCTGCAAACATTAAACACAGCCTACTCCTAGCCAGATTATCATAAGACCTCACTTTAAAGGTCTGTTTACCTCAGGTCCTATTACAGGATACATCATATCCTACCTTTTTTTGTTTTTAAAGGAGGCAAGGTCTCGTTTTGTCACCCAGGCTGTAGTGCATTGGTGCAATCATAGCCCAATGCAACCTCAAACTCCTGGGCTAAAGCAATCTTCCTGACTCAGCTTCCTGAGTAGCTGGGACTACAGCTAATTTTTAAAATTTTTGTAGAGATAGGGTCTCACTATGTTGCCAGGCTGGTCTTGAACTCCTAATCTCAAGCAATCCTCCCACCTCAGCTTCTCAAAGTGCTGGGATTACTGATGTGAACCACTGCACCCAGCCATGTCCTACTTTTAGCCAAAAAATTGTGAGGCGTGCTAAAAGGCAAGAAAAAGACTGGTGTGAAGAAACAATGTAAGCATCAGAACCAGACTGAGATATGACACAAATTTAGGAATTATCAGATAGGGAATTTAAAGTAGTTGATTAATGTGTTAAAGGCTCTAATGAAAAAAGTAGACAACATGCAAGAACAGATGGGTAATGTAAGCAGAGAGAGATGAAAGTGTTAAAAAAAGCATCAAAACAAAATGCTAGAAATCAAAAACATTATACAGAAATGAAGAATGCATTTGATGGGCTTACCAATAGACTAGACTAGACACAACTGAGGAAGCAATCAGTAATCTTGAACATATGTCAATAGAAATTTCCCAAACTGAAACATAAAGAGAAATTTAAAAAAAGAAAAAACAGAACAGAATATCCAAGAATTGTGGGACAGTTTTTAAAGGTGCAACATGTTATTTGAATATCCACAAGAAGAGAGAAACGAGTAAGAGAAATGTTTGAAGTAGTAATAGCCAAGAATTTTCCAAAATTAATGATAGAAACCAAGCCACAGAACCAAGAAGTTCAGAAGACACCAAGCCAAGAAGAATAAATACCAAAACTTCTACACCTATGCACATGATGCATAGACAAATAGAAAATCTGGAAAGAAGCCATGGGAGGAAAAATACTTTACCTATAGAGGAACAAGGATTAGAAATCTCATCAGAAACCAGACAAACAAGAAGAGAATGGAGTGAAGTATAAAGTGTTGAAGTCTTGAGAGAGGCTGTGTGTGGTGGCTCACACCTATCATCCCAGCACTTTGTGAGGCCAAGGCAGGAGGATCGCTTGAGGCCAGGAGCTTGAGGCTGCAGTGAGCTATGTTCAGGCCACTGAACTCCAGCTTGGGTGACAGAGTGAGACCCTGTCTCTTAAATTAAAAAAAAAGCAAAATTACAGTATTGAGAGGAAAAAACCCACCAACCTAGACTTCTGTATCTAGAGCAATTAGCCTTCAAACATGAAGGAGAAATGAAGACTTTCTCAAACAGAAATTGAGGGAATTTGTCATCAGTAGACCTGCCTTGCAAGAAACATTAACAGAAGTTCTTCAAAGAGAAAGAAAATAATATAGGTCAGAAACTTGGATATACATAAAGAAGAGCAGAGAATTAGAGAAGGAATAAGTGAATGTAAAATCTTATTTTTCTTATTCTAAATTGATCTAACAGATAACAATTTGTTCAACATAATAGCAACAATATATTTGATGATTATAGCTTACGGATAAATAAAAAGGAGGAAAGGTCAACAAGGCAAGAACTCCGAAAAGAAGAAATCAGCTCCGAGTATTTTGTCAAGAGTATGTGTTAGGTTGGAAAATTCAAAAATGGAACATTCAGCAAAGATGACATATCAAGAAGATAAATTCTTTCAAGTGGTTAAATGAAGTGCTTCATGAAGGAATAGAAATGACCCAATTGTGCTGAAACAGTACATTTATAAGTCTTCCTGGCTTTTTTATTTCTTTTATGTTTGATAATTTTTATTTTAAAAATCAATGGAAAAAATATTTGCTGATCACTCATTTCTATATTATGGTGGTAAATTATGTCAGGTGAACTACAGTGTGAACATATCAAAATAAACTTACTGAGAATACTTTCATGTTCATCAAATGGTCTATATTAACCTTGTTTTCACAAGTATTATATGCATTCACTCAATATGATTTCTTATAATTTTACTATTTTATACTAAACATTACAGTGCCTTTTTTGGTTTTTTGTGTGATTTAATGCTAGTATATACTAATGATCCATATTAATTAGAAAATTAATTTTCAGAATTAGCCATTTTAATTTCAGGTTTTCATAGCTTATAAAATTTTACTGTAAGAGCTGTTTTAAAAAAAACTGGTTATAAAAAAGTTTCATTGACCTTTCGACAAAATATGAAATGTGATTATAGTTTGCAACTTTGATGTAGTCAAATTTATCAATCTTTTCCTTGACAATTTGTACTTTTTGTGACTTACCTGTACTTTGAGTCTCCTATATTTTCTCTTTTCTTACTTGCCAGTCATTTCATGTATATAAATTTTTTCTCTTTAATGCTCATCCTTACAAATGAAAACTTTTCATGAAGTTTATGTAAGACTATAGTTTTGTTTCTAAATCCGTAACTTCTATTTTGAGGTGAAAATATCAAATCTTACTTAAAGAAAATAAACATGGAAGAATCTTGGTCATTGTCGCTAACAGTTTAGCTTAATAAATGTGATATTTATCACCCTTAACAGCATATTATATTAACATGTATGTTTGCTTTTAAATAGGCACGTAGAAGTCCAGGTGTTTGGTGATAACCATGGCAATGCCGTGTACTTGTTTGAAAGAGACTGCAGTGTGCAGAGGCGACATCAGAAGATCATTGAGGAGGCCCCAGCGGTAAGGACCTTGTAAAGAAATTTATAAGCTCCTCTGTACAGTTGACCCTTGAATAAGGTAAGGGTTCGGTACACCAACCCCCCTTGAAGTCAAGAATCCATGTATCTTTTGACTCCCCAAAAGCTTAACTGCTAATAGCCTACTGTTGACCAGAAGCCTTCTCAATAACATAAACAGTCAATTAACATATTTTGTATGTTGTATATATTATATACTGTATTCATACAATAAAGTAAGCTAGAAAAAAAGAAAATGTTATTAAGAAAATCATAAGGAAGAGAAAATATATTTACTATTCATTGAGTGGAAGTGGATCATCATCATCATCATCATCATCATCTTCCCGTTGAATAGGCTGAGGAGGAAGAGGAGGGGTTGGTTGGCCTTGCTGTCTCAGGGATGGCAGCGGCAGAAGAAAATCTGCATATGAATGGACCCTCACAGCTCAAACCTGTGATGTTCAGGGGCCTCATGTTTTGTAAACTTTATGCACTCCGATTTTCACATCAGAAGTCTGTGAAACTGGTGTATCCAATCCCCCGAAGTCCTGCTGGACAGCTGCTTCCCAGTAGTAATATAATGGAAGGACCTCCTGCAGTGTTGGGATGAGGAGGGGGTTGATGTTCTGGGGTAAACACAATAGGGCCATGTTCCTTCTGGATAGAATCTGGGAAAATCAGCTCTCATCTAAGTAGCTGACTTAGACTGGGCAGCTTACCTCTTATAGTGAGGTTTCAATGCACATTTTAATTGTAATTAACTAGAATTAATTACAGGAATGGAATGGAATGGTCTGGTTAGTTAAATGTATTTTTTATGGAAAAGACTCTTTTGTTTTAACTATTATACTATTTCAGATGTTCCTAAAATATATTAGTGGTCATATTGTAGAGAAAAGATAGTTGCTTGTTTGGCAGTTTTTGCTTCCTTAACATTAATTGTTTACATCTCTTTGAGCCTTCCTCCTAATTGGTTTAGGTTATTATCTGGGTCAAGGCCTTCTACTAGGACTACCTATTTTTGATTTATATTTCTTTGGAACCTGCTACTGCCATGGGTTCTTGCCCAAGGTTATGTATATGATTTTTTTTCAGTACATACTTCACAAAAAGGCGGGAATCTGAGGTTTCTCATTAGTATGTTGTTTATATACTGTATTCCTAAAATTAAATTTCTGTTGCAGAGTATATTATACCAGTTGAAGTAAATGTCAACAATAATGGCAGTAAACCTTATCTTCAAGCATTGCTTACTTAAATGTGTATCTGTGGAGCACTGTTTTAAAATGTTGAAAGTTTGTATCTGTGGAACACTGTTTTAAAATGTTGAAAACTTTGTTTACTCATCGATAAGATTTCTTTTTATGAACCTTTCTTATTAACTTGGAATCTCAAGGTGTCTCATTATTCCAAGGTAATCATTAGGCACATGACTCAGGCTGCTCTATCATCCTGAAACAAAATGGGGATTGTTGAAAATTTTCATATTGATACATGTAATTTTAAGTGAACACATAGTTATGAAAGTTGTCATGTAGGTACAGGAGACAAAGATATGTAATTATGCTGAGTATGGCTGCAATTCATAGAAATTACAAGCAGAACCATTCAACTATGCCATAGTGGTATATTGACAGATAAACTGATATAGGACAGTACTTCTTGATGAAGTACTTAATGAAGATTAGCTTATCCTTACATTTTTAATGCAATATTTGATGCATAGAACTATTAATATAATATAGTCATACATCACTTAATGATGGGAATATGTTCTGAGAAATGCATTGTTAAGCAATTTCATCATTTTGTGACCATCATGGAGTGTACTTACTACACAAACCTAGATGGTATAGCCTACTATATACTTAGGCCTTATGGTATAGCCTATTGCTCCTAGGCTACCAACTTGTACAGCATGTTACTGTACTGAGTCCTGTAGGTAACTGTAACACAATAATAAGTATTTGTGTATCTAGACATAGAAAAGCTACAGTAAAAATAAAAAAGGTATAAAAGGTAAAAAATGGTTTACTTGTACAGAACACTTACGATGAATGGAGTTTGCTTGACTGGAAGTTGCTCTGGGCGAGTCAGCGAGTGGTGAGGGAATGTGAAGACCTAGGACGTTATTGCACACTGCTATAGACTTTATAAACACTGTACACTTAGGCTATAGTAGATTTATAAAAAATATTTTTTCTTCAATAATAAATTAACCTTACCTTACTGTAACTTCTACTTGATAAACTTTAATTTTTTTTACTTTTTGACTCTTATAATAATACTTAGCTTAAAACATAGACACGTTATACAGCCATACAAGAATATTTTCTTTCTTTATATCCTTATTCTATAAGCTTTTTTTTTTTTTTTTTTTTTTTTTTTTTACTTTTTAAACTTTTTTGTTAAAAACTAAGACACACACACACACATTAGCCTAGGCCCACGCAGGGTGGATTATCAATTTCATTGTCTTCCACCTCCACGTCTTGTTCCACTGGAAGGTCTTCAGGGGCAGTAACACACATGGAGCGGCCATCTCCTATGACAACAACTCCTTCTGGAATACTTCCTGAAAAACCTGCCTGAGGATGTTTTACAGTTAACTTTTTTTTTTTTTATAAGTGGAAGAAGTATACTCTAACATAACAATAAAAAAATAGTGTAGTAAATACATAAGCCAGTAACATAGTCATTTATTATTATCATCATCAAGTATTATGTACTGTACATAATGTATGTGCTATACTTTTATAAGGCTGGCAGCACGGTAGGTGTGTTTACACCAGTATCACCACAAACACATGAGTAGTGCATTGCTCTACAATGACGTTATAATAGGTACGACATCACTAGGCAATAGAAATTTTTTAGCTTCATTATGATCTTATGAGGCCACATCATATATGTAGTTCTTGGCTGACCAAACCGTTGCATTTTGGCACCTATTTTAGATTTTAATGGAAATTTCAAGTAAAGCAAGCTACTAATGGAAATTTATTTTAAATATTTTTTTGTAGCCTGGTATTAAACCAGAAGTAAGAAAAAAGCTTGGAGAAACTGCAGTCAGAGCCGCTAAAGCTGTAAATTATGTCGGAGCAGGTATGTTAAGATTTGCTTCTAATAGAAGAGACGAAACAATCATTTATTTATATTTCAGAAGACTAGAGAAACATAGAGCTTTAGATCAGTGGCTTTCAAGCTTTTTTGACCATATCCGTAGTAAGAAACACATTTTATGTCGAGACCCAATACGTACACGTAGGGTTTGTGTGTATATATATATATATATGTACATTTGAAATAAACAGTTTGCTAAATATTATTTTAATTATATATGAGTTTTGCTATTTTCTATTCTATTCCAAAATAGCCAGGCGCAGTGGTGTGCGTCTGTAGTCCCTGCCCCTCAGGAGGGTGAGGCAGGAGGATCACTTAAGTCCAGGCGTTCTAGTCTGTAGTACACTGTGCCAATCGGGTGTCTGTGCCTGCGCTAAGTTTGACTTCAATATAGTGACCACCCCCTCCCCCAGGAACAGGGAACCACCATGTCAGAAACAGAGAGGGTCAAAACTCTCCTGCTGATCAGTAGTGTGATCACACTTGTAAATAGCCACTGCACTCCAGCCTGGGCAAGTGTAAGACGCTATCTCTAAAAAAATAAACAAGTAAAATAAAATAATGAAAACACTAAGTAGATTGTTTTGCTTATTTTTTAGTTGATAAGCTTTATTTTAGAGCAGTTTTAAGTTCACAGCAAAATTGAGCAGAAAGTAACAGCGTTCCCATATACCCCCTGTCCCCCACCCCCACCTACAACCTCCCACACTATAAACATCCCTGCACCAGCATGGTACATTTGTTACAATTGATGAACCTACACTGACACGTCATTATTGCCCAAGTCCATGGTTTACTTTAGGATTCACTCTTGGTGTTGAACATTTGTGGGTTTTGACAAATGTATAATATGTATCCACCATTGTAGTATCATACGGAATTGTTTCACTATCCTAAATATCCTCTGTGCTCTGCCTGTTCATTCCTCCCTTTCCTGTAAACCCTGGCAACCACTATTCTTTTTATAGCCTCCATAGGATATCTTGGTGGCTATGTTTGGATGATAAGTTTTGGTAATTGTAAATAAAGCTGCTATAAACATTTTTGTGCAAGTTTTTGTGTGGCCATAATTTTTCAGTTCATTTAGCTAAATGCCAAGAGGCATGATTGCTGGATCATATGGTAAGAAAATGTTTAGTTTTGGAAGAAACTGCCACACTGTCTTCCAAAGTGGCTGTACCATTTTGCATTCCAACCAGCAAAGAATGAGGGTTCCTGTGTTCCAAATCCTCACCAGCATTTGGTGTTAATCAGTGTGTTGGATTTTGGCAATTTGGTATCTCATTGTTGTTTCAATTTGTACTTCCCTAATGACATGTAATGTTGAACATATTTTCATGTGCTTACTTGCCATTGTATATCTCTTTGATGAAGTATCTGTTCAGGTCTTTTGCCTGTTTTTTTAACTGGGTTGTTTGTTTACTTAATATGCATTAGCAAGGATATTTTTACGTGATAGCATCTAGGTCTCAGTCCAAAATAAAGACGAAGTAGACTGAAAGTCTCTAATGCCCACCACTGGGTCTCAGAAAGAGAAGACTTTGGAGAGAATCATGCTTCCCACAGCACTGGATGCAGCGCTCTCCTCCCCAGCCGTCAGCCCTGTCGCTTACTCTCACATTCAATGACCTCATTTTCACATGATACTCAATTCACAGAGCCCATCAAGTGCCTGTCATATATTATTTCATCAGATAGATGGGTGTGTTATTTACAGCGGGCCTCACCAATTTATATCGTATCTTCACAGCTTTTATCTCATACTTGTTTATCTTTTACTGTTTCTTTAGTCCCCTGTAAATAGCCCAGGCCCATGTCCCTCTTAGCTGGTCAGAAGTTAAGTGATCCAATTCAGTGGTCATATTACAAATGAGAGAAATTAGTGGAAGCAGTAGAATTAAGAGTTTCTTTGAATGCCCCGTGGATTCTTTTTTTCTTCTTCATTATGATCGTTTTGACTGATTATAAAACATAACACCAGGCACTATAAAAAAATGTTTACACAAGTCAAAATTGTGTCAAGTACAAAGTGAATTTCCTTCACCAATAACTCCCCTCTTCCAGAGACCATTATATACAAATATATTTTTATGTATATAAATATAAATGTAGATGTAAATATGAACATATCCATCTAAGTGCAATAATACTAAACATCAGTTCTGTAATTTTCTTTTCACTGAACAATATATTACAGATGTCATTTCATGTCAAGAAACAGAACTTCATCCTCCTATTGAACAGCCACTGAGTATTTATTCCATTTGGGGGTATATCATAATAATTTAAGTAATTTCTTATTAGTGGAATGTATCTCATTTCCCATTTTTCGCTCTTATTAATGAAACTTAGATGAATAAACATATAAATACACCTTTGAATATCTTTCTGATTTTATCCTAAGAACAAATTTCTGGAAAAGAGATCATGTCATCAAAAGGCATGAACATTTTTAATTTTGAAATGTATTAACAATGTGCCTTGAAGAAAAGTTGATCCAAGACACCTACATTCTCATAAACACTATATATGATCAATATTTTTTATCTTTGACAAACTGATAGGTAATTATCAGATATAATATTATTCTTTCAGATGCATTTCTTTGTTAGTAAAATAAAATATTTTCAGATGACTATTAATATTGTAATGAAATATAATTTTTAAGGTAAAAATTCTTCACATTATTTTATACATTGAAACTATCCCTCATTTTATTGGCTTCTATCCACATTCATCACATTTATCATGATATTAAGAAATCATTCCCATTTTATAAATGAAGCCAAGTCCAAAAAAAGTTAAATAGATGGCTGAAAGTAAATAGTTGGCAAATATCCTAACGCTACTTCTTAAAAAAAAGTGAATGGAGCATACTCTGTACTCTAGACAAGATGTAGAAAGCAGAAAAAAGCTTTTGGCGATTCAACCCAGCTAAACCAATTCAGAGACTCTTAGAGTAGGACTAAGTGATTACATGAAAAATAAGGTTTTTTGTTTATTTATTTGTTTGTTTTGAGACAGAGTCTTGCTCTGTTGCCAGGCTAGAGTGCTGTGGCTTCAGCCTAGCCTACTGCAACCTTCAACTCCTGGGCTCAAGCAATCCTCCTGCCTCAGCCTCCTGAGTAGCTGGGACTACAGGTGCGCACCAGGATGCCTGGCTACTTTTTCTATTTTTAGTAGAGACAGGGTCTCGCTCTTGCTCAGACTGGTCTTGAACTTCTGAACTCAAGCAGTCCTCCTGCTTCAGCCTCCCAGAGTGCTAGAATTACAGGGGTGAGCCACTGCCCCCGACCCATCCTTTTACTTTAAATCTGTTTCATTATACAGACATTTAAGGTTATTGTTGATACAGTTTGATTAATATTTACTATATTTGTTACTGTTTTCTATTTGTTCCCCTTGTTCATTGTTCCTGTTTTTGTCTTCCATACTTTTTCTGCCTTCTTGGGTTTTTGTTACTGTTTTTGTTTTTTTTAAGACAAGATATCACTGTATTGCCCAGGCTGCCCTTGAACTCCTGGGCCCAAGCAATCCTCCTGCTTCAGCTTCCTGAGAAGCTGGAAATACAGGCATGCACCATGCACTTTTGTGGTTTTAACTGATCTTTTTTTATGATTCCATTTTCTGTCCTTTCTTGGCATATCATTTACAGTCATACGCCACATAATGACATTTGATCAATAACAGACCACATATACTATGGTGGTCCTATAAGATTATAATGGAGCTGAAAAATTCCTATCACCTAGTGACATCGTGGCCATTGTAATGTCATAGCATAACACATTACCTTTTCTCTGTTTAGATATGTTTAGATACACAAATACTTATGATTATGTAATTAAATACAATTGCCTATGGTATTCAGTGCAGTAATACTCTGTGGCCTAAGAACAATAGGCTATAGCATATAGCCTAGGTATGTAGGAGGCTATATCATCTAGGTTTGTGGAAGTACAGTTTATAATGTTCACATAGTGATGAAATCACCTAATGACATATTTCTCAGAATATATCCCCATCATTAAGCAATGCTTGACTGTGTATTTCCTTTTATGGTTTTCTTAATTGTAGTTGTAGAGTTTGCAGTATACATTCAGAACTAATCAAAGTCCACTTTCAGATAAGAGTATCACTTCTCAAGAAGTGCAAGTACCTTGTAATAGCAAAATATCCCTGACTCCTCCCGCTTGTCCCCTCTATCATTGCTATCATGCATTTCATTCATACATAAGCATATATACATGTAAGCGTACATGATCAAATACATTGTTGCTGTTACTTTTTCGAACAAACTGTTATCTGTTAGATCAGTTAAGAATAAAAAAAATAAGAGATTTTACTTTACCTTCACTTATTTCTTCTCCAGTACTCTTTATTTCCTTATGTAGATCCAAATTCGGACATCTATCATTTTCCTTTTCTTTGAAGAACTTCTTTTAACATTTCTTACAAGGCAGGTCTTCTAACAACAAATTTCCTCAGTTTTTGTTTGTCTGAGAAATATTTATTTCTCTTTCACTTTTTTTTTATTTTTTTATTTTTATTTTATTTATTTTTTTATTTAGAAACAGAGTCTCACTCCGTTGCCCTGAATAGAGTGCCATGGCGTCAGCCTAGCTCACAACAACCTCAAACTCCCAGGCTCAAGTGATCCTCCTGCTTCAGCTTCCTGAGTACCTGGGACTATGGGCGTGTGCCACCACGCCCAGCTAGTTTTTTCTATTTTTTTTTTTAGTTGCCTAGCTAATTTCTTTCTATTTTTTGTAGTAGAGACAGTGTCGTGCTCTTTCTGAGGCTGGTCTTGAATACCTGGCCTCAAGCCATCCTCCAGCCTCAGCCTCCCACAATGCTGGGATTACAGATGTGAGCCATCACGCCTGGCCTCTCTTTCACTTTTGAAAGATAATTTTGCAAGATACAGCATTCTAGGTTAGTGAGTTCTTTCTTTCAACACTTTAGGTATTTCTCTCCACTCTCCTCCTGTTTGCATGGTTTCTAAGGAGAAGCTGCATGTAATTCTTATGTTTGCTTTTCTGTAGGTAAAGCATTTTTTTCTTCTAGCTTCAGTTAAGATTTTTCTTTATCTTTGATTTTCTGAAATTTCAATGTGATATGCCCAGGGTTTTTTTGTTTGTTTTGTTTTTGGTGGGGGAGGATTTATCTTCCTCTGAGCTTTCTGGTCTCTGTCATTTGGTTTCTGACAACTTGAGGAAATTCTTAGTCATTATTGCTTCAAATATTTCTTCTGTTCCTTTCTTTCTTCTTCTGATGTTCCCATTATGCATGTGTCATACCTTTTGCAGTTGTACTGCAGTGCTTGGATATTCTGTTCTGTTTGTTTAAGTCTTTTTTCTCTTTGCTTTTGAGTTTTGGAAGTTTCTGTTTTCATATTCTCAAGCTCAGAGATTCTTTCCATGTCCAGTCTACTAATGAGCCCATCAAAGCATGCTTCATTTCTGTTGCAATGTTTTTTAAAACTCTAACATTTCCTTTTGATTTTTCTTAGAATTTTCATCTCTCTGCTCACATTATCCATCTATTCTTACATATTATCTTCCTTTTCTATTAAAGCTCTTAGCCTATTAATCACAGTTTATAATATTCCTAGTCAGATTATTCTAATATTCTTGCCATATCTGACTTTGGTTCTGTTGCTTGTTAATTCTCTTCAAACTCCGTTTTTTGCCTTTTAGTATGCCTTGTAATTTTTTGTTGAAAGGCAGACATGGTATACTGGGTAAAAGGAGTTTTAATAAATAGGCCTTTTGTAATGTGGTGAGATGTGGGGGGAGGGGAAGTGTTCTATAGTCCTGTGACCACAGTCTTAGGTCTCAGTCTTTGCTGAGCCTGTGCTCAGACTATGACCTTCACCAGTGCTTGTCAGTTTGTTTTTGTTTTGTTCTCCCTCACCCCTTAGGTAGAACAGGATGTCGGGAGGGAGTTGGAATTGTATATTTCCTTTCCCCCAGTCAGGTTAGACTCCAATAAAACCCCAATAGTTTAGGCTCTGGTAAAATAATTTCTTGTGAGGATAGTCCTGGTTAAGAAGAACAGAATTTTCTGGTGTATCTCAAAATGGTTTCTTTTCCCTGGAAGCATGAGGAGAGTTTTCCCTGATATTCACTGTGAAGACCTGGTGAAGTGTGGTCCTCCTGTGTGACTGGGTCCCCTTGGAGTTTTTAACTGAGTTGTCCACACTGAGCTGCCGGCAATTTGTCAATTGCAGTTCATTCCTCTGCTCATGGAATCTCCGTATCTGCCTGTCTCTCTGATTTGGGGGGCAGTAGTTTGCTTTGTGACCTGATTTCTCTGACATACCTGAGAAGAACTGTTGATTTTTTTAGCATGTTCCACTTTTTACTTGTTGGCAGGATAAAGTGTCAACTTCTAAGCTCCTTATATGCCAGATCAGAAACCAGAAGTCTTCACATAACTTGATTTTAAAATCCACTAATGGATTATAAGTATAGTTTGAAAAATTGTTTTAAGTTATTAATATATTCACTTTAGGCTAAGTGAAATAAACTCAAGCACAAAAAAACTACAAACTATGTGATTCCATTTCTATGAAATTCTGGAAAAAACTATCATGACAGAAAACAGATCAGTGGTTGCCTGGATCCCCAGGGTCTAAGGAAGGGAGTGATTGCAAATGGGAACAGCGGAACTTTTTGGATGATGGAAATGTTCTGTATTTCCATTGTGGTGGTGGTTACATGATTGCATTTAATTGCTAAAAGCAACACACCTACACCTAAAATAGTTACATTTTATTGTCTAAAATTAAACCTTAATAAAGCAAGGAGAAATTTTGTAGAGCTTAAGAGAATGTCAATAACAATAACATAAGGTTTAGTTGCTGAACGGTCCTTCAATGGGTCACCAGCAAAAGGAACTTTAAAGGAAACTTGCAAGAGTCCACAATCAGAAAAAAAAATGTTGACTTTTTCTCTATGGTGTTAAAGTGAGATCGGATGTCATAGTGTGAGGCTCCCAAGGTCTTAATGCTCTGATGCAGTAACACATGATCCAACCTTGTTCTCACTGTTACAGCTGCTGAGACTGATTCATAATTTGGGTTTACCATGTGCTCACAACCCCAAATATACTTTTCCATTGCTAATTTCATGCAGCTCCCTATTTTTGACTGAGATTCATTTGCTGCTGCAAAATGTGAGATGTTTTCTTCATGAAATGCAAAATGTTACCATTAAATGAAGACAGCAGTAAAACTAGATGTAATACAGCATACAAGGTTTTGATTTGCTACTGATTATTTTATACTATTGAAATGTGACCATTGTGTTTTATCTTTTAGGAACTGTGGAGTTTATCATGGACTCAAAGGACAATTTCTACTTCATGGAAATGAATACAAGACTGCAAGTAGAACATCCTGTTACTGAGATGATCACAGGAACTGACTTGGTGGAGTGGCAGCTCAGGGTGAGCATTTTTTTTCTATTAAAAATTTGAGAATAGGTTACCATCTGACCTCCTAAAACAGGTGTCATTTTGGACAGGGTTCGATTCATGGTAGCTCTGATGAGGACAGGAAAATGGGAGGTGAAAAGTAAAACTACATTTGATACTATGACTTTATTGGCACTTAAGGGACTTGGATTCCTAATCTGTCACTAACCTTCAGTTCCCATTAGGCAAGGGGCAGCCAGCAGGCAAGCTGCCATCACTGAGGCTTGCTTGTGACCACATCATCTCAAGGCCAAAGCCTCATGGTCCACCTAAGGCCACAGCATTCTGGACCATACATCATTAGATTTTTAGCGGATGCTAGCTAAGTTGAAATGGGCTAAGGCAGAGCTGGGAATGAAGAGCCAAGCAAATGGCCTAGATCAGTAGAATGGTCTGTGGAAAGTGCCTGTTTACCAACTGTCGCCAGCCCATGATAAACGCTCATTCAGAACAGCCGTTCAGAGTAAATGTTTAGAAACTTTTAAAGCATTTTGACATTGCTGTGACATGTCTACTGTATTTTTCAAACATGTCAATTAATAACTGTTCTTTTTCTATGGATTGTTTGAGAAGCACTGGTATAAACCAGAGTTCCACAAAGCATATTTCTTCAAATATTAATAATAATAGCTTAGTCTGTTTTTGTTCTCTTTAGTGAAAACAATAGATTTACCCCAGCCTTCTTTTTCTTAGTATGAAAAAAATATTAAGTAGTATAAATATTCCTGATTTCTGTTGGATTCTTCATTCTTTATATATCCTGAATCTAAATTGGTTTTTTCCATGGTATGCTGAAGTCTTGATTATTTTGATAATTTCATCTTTTCAGAACTGTGGACAATAAGATGATATTCCTTTTGTTGGTTCCTTGGGGATGATCAGTAGTTTTAATTGAGCCAAAAGATTCTTCTGTGCCTCTACAGCCTTAGGGACTAATGAAAATCAGGCATATCAGGCTAATAAGTTAGTGAGTGTCAGGAAAAACTATAGATTTGTAAGCTTCTGGAAAGAGTGTTTGTTTCCAGAATTCAAGGAAAAGGAGGATATTTTTTCTGAAGCGGTAAACCAAGAGAGTCTAGATTTTGAAATCATGGAGGATAAAAGGTTTCTAAGGATTGAGGATAAAGAAAACTTTTGGACATTAGGAAAACCAACAGAGATTTATTTCTGAAACTCAAGAAATCATAAGAAGGCTCTTTAGAAAGAGAAGCAGGCTTTTGTCATCTGGGGAGGGACTCTAGAATTTAGGGAAACTGCTGGACCTGGTTTATAGAGTTTAAGGCACTTTGGAGTCTGGCTTTCAGGCAGAGGTAAAATAAGAAGACTCACCATTTGGTGAGGCAAGAGTTCAAGCATCAGGACCTGCCTGTGGAGTCAAAGGCTTCCAAGAGCCAGGGTGCAGTGAGGTGAGCAGCCAGGGTTCAGACTGCAGATGATTAGCAGTGTTCAGGGGAAGCTGGTAACAATATCCAAGGTTAGGAATTCCAAAGAGTCAATGCCTAAGCTTGAGAGAACTCAAATGGCACAGATTTCCAAATAACCAAAGGCATGGTTGGGGCCAGTCTCTTCCGGGCTCAGGTAGAAGCCATTCTCAGATGCCCATCTCTATTGATACAGGGGGAAAAAGAAGAAGAAGCCATTCTCAGAGAAAAATAAACAGGCAAAGACAAGTCAGGTTGAAATGGAGCTGTATAGTTAGAAATAAGATCACATCTTAGAATATAGATATATGGTCATTCTTTTCTTTTTGTATATTAAAACAAATAGAGTGCTTTATTAAAGCATTAAAGAATATTTTATTATAAAGGATAAGAATGAAATGATAATAGTTAACACCTACATAATGCTCACTATATGCCAGCCACTTTTTTCTGAGATATGGAGAGCTAAAGAAACTTGCCCAGGTCACAGAGTAAATACAGAGACAAAATGTGAACCCAGGCAATACAGCTGCAGAGTCTGTGATTTGAAATACCATGCAAAGGCACTCAGTTTAGTTCCTGTTCCTTTTGCTCTTATTTGCCATAGTTCCTGATCTTTCTTATTTGCAGATTCAAAGAGATGAGACCTTTGCCTCTGTTTTATGCTTACCTGTGTAGTTCAGTGTCATACTGAGTTACCTAGAGTCTTTTTTCCTGTATCTATATTGCTTTCTCAGGTTGTCATTTTCTCATCTTGGAAAAAAACCTCAGGAGGAGAGTAAAGAGAGAAAGTGACAGTATGTCCTCCAATAGGCTTTTCCAAGTTATACTAATTGATGCATGATTTCATATATTCATTCATATTAGCCCAAATAGTAATAATTATAGGAGTCATAGCAATAGTGATTATCCTGTTTATAATCTGGTGTCATGCAATACACTTAAACATAAAATTAAAAAACCATCCTGTTCCCCTTTCTGTTTTGCTTTATCACTCACTTGCTTATGAAGATTATTGTAGTATAGAATGACTAATGTCTACCACATTTTTTCCATGGCTGTGAATGTAGTCCTAAACACTAACTAATAATTTACTATAACAAAATTATTGATTTGAGAATTGACTGCTAATGATTTAAATAAAAACTGAGAATATCTTGCCAGTAAGAAATTTTGGTTTTTATTATATTGTACAAACACTAATTTTTATATTTATAAATTAGTCATCAGTTTGCCTGCTTTCTCAAATATTTAAAACCCTAGAAACCTATTATAACTAATAGATTATTCCTAAACTACATCTGGGTTATTTTCTGTGTGTGAGTGGTTTGATTGTTTTGAGACAAGGTCTCACTCTGTCGCCAGGCTGGAGTGCTGTAGCATGATAGCTCACTGCAACCTCAAACTCAAACTCCCAGGCTCAGGCGATCCTCCTGCCTCAGCCTCCCAAGTATCTGGGACCATAGACATACACCACGATGCCTGGCTAATTTTTGTTTTATAAAGATAAGGGTCTTGCTGTGTTGCTCAGGTTGGTCTTGAACCCCTGGCCTCATGCGATTCTCCCACCTCAGCCTCCAAAAGTGCTGGGATCACAGGTGTGAGCCACCATGCCCAGCCTGCATCTGTTTTTTAATCTATTTTTGTTTTGCCCAATACTCTAGTGGGTAGATAAAATAAGTTTTTATTTGGCTGCATTGCAAAACCCAAACGTACACCTTATGTAGAAAAAAGCAAGACCATCAACTTAGTAAGTCTTGGCTGCTGCACGGTGGATTTTCATAAGAAGCACTGTTCTTCCATTACCAGATTGCAGCGGGAGAGAAGATTCCTTTGATCCAGGAAGAAATAACTCTGCAAGGCCATGCCTTTGAAGCTAGGATATATGCAGAAGATCCTAACAACAACTTCATGCCAGGGGCTGGACCATTGGTGCATCTCTCTACTCCTCAAGCAGACCATTCCACTAGGATCGAAACTGGAGTTCGGCAAGGTAAAGTGAAATAAAACAATGTCTCACTCCTTTTAAATTTTTATTACATTATTATTTTATCCCTGAGTGTTATGGAAATGTCTAGCATGTTTTAAAATAAAAGATTTAGTTGATTTCTCATTAACCTTTACTTTTTCCTTCTAGAATAGTTATTTTTAAAGAATAACTAGTATTTTAAATAATGCACTCTCATTTTGAAAGGCAGCAGTACTTGGTCAAACCTAACCAAGAAATATTTTGTGTGTACTGTTTTACTTTTTCACTTCACCTAGTTCCAAAAGTGATTTAAGGTGACTGATATCTGCTATGCTCAAGGCACTCTGCCGTCAAGGAACACAAAGTCAAGTTGGAGAATGAAGATGTAAGCTTAGTATAAGCTAAACAATACTAAAAGAAATAAATTACGGTTAAAAAAATAACAGTGCAAGAGCTATCATAGTTCAGTATATGAATAATATTTAATAACAATGTATATAACTAACAATTATTTAGTGCTCTCTATGTACAGGCACTCTTCTAGGTGATTTTTCTATATGGACTCCTTTAGCCATGAGAATTACCTTATGAGTAGGGATTATTATCACCCCCGTTTTCTAGATGAGGAAACTGGAGCACAGAGCAGTTAAGTGACTTGCCCATGGTCACCCTTGGAGCCAAGATCCAGACCCAGGCAGTCTGGCTCCAGAGTCCGGGCACCGAGCCACGTCTGTCTATTGCCAGCTGGATTTCAGTTGCTGGTGTAAGTTATACAGCGATGGAATATAGCAGTTCTCAGGACTAAGAAGTTACGTTAGGCTGATACAATCAGCACAGGTTTTTAAGAGGATATCTGGAGTAGATTTACATAGGCAGATTTAATAGCATAATGAAGAGTGAAGAAAAGAAAAATTATTAAAGGTGTGTTCAAAGAATAGCATGAAAATATGTGGCTGGAGAAGAGGGTTCAGGAAGGTGAGTAGTTGGAGATGTGGCTGGTGACATAGGTTGAGGTCAAATCATATAACATCTGGAAAGCCAAAATGAGGAATTAGGACTTCTTATTTAATAAAAAGTAGAAGCATTGTGAGAGCTCTGGCAAAGCCACAGCAAGGTTTGGTCGTCAGTAAAGTGTTTAACTTGTCATCTTAGCTCTGCTTGCCCCACAGGTTCCATTTTTCTACTGCAAGCATCTCTAATCTTATAGATGAGGGCCCTTGGGTTCAGAGAGGTCCGGTAACCTGCCAAAATTGTGAAAAGGTCCTACAACAGTGTTCTTTATAGCATACCACATCCTTTCGACCGGAACCATTTCTCACCAGTGGGATGTGCTGTAGCTCAGATTCTTCTTCTCTAGGACTGTAACCATCATAGTCATGATAGCTGCCATTTGGTTATCAGTCCTGCCAGGCATGGCACTTTATTGTCTCTCCTCCCAACAATCCTACAGGCTAGAGGAATTATTATACTTACTCTACTGATGAGGAAACTGAAAGAAAGAGTGGAGGGAGGGGAATGCTGAGGGCAGGAAGTGAGTAAAATGTGAGAGGGTAGAGGGAGTTTGTGTTGACTTCCAAAATGAGAAAAGAAAAAGTTCAGAAGAAGATAGGACAGGAAAAGCCAGCCTGTGTGTCTCTGTGTTGGAGCCTGGTGCTCTTGGATGGCCACATCTTCCAGGAACTTTGGATAAGTTTTTAAACCCCTCCGAGCCTCGGTTTCCTCATGGATAAATTAGTGGTAATGATATCTATCATGTAGAAGTTTGTGAGGGTTAAGTGAAATGTACACAATAAAATGTCTTGCTTGTCCTATTTTATTCCTTTAAATTTTGACTTTGAGAGGTTACTGTGGTTTTTCACTTTCAGGAGATGAAGTTTCAGTGTATTATGACCCCATGATTGCGAAGCTGGTCGTATGGGCTGCAGATCGCCAGATGGCCTTGAGAAAACTGAGGTACAGCCTTCGTCAGTACAATGTGAGTGATCCGGGGCCGTGTTAATGACCTCGCTGCGTTTGGTCAGGACCAAAGGTCAGCCTTCATCCTTGTCAGAGGCTTGGTCTTGTCACCTTATTTCCTTATTTCCACCAATTGCCCATATGTCACAAGCAGAATAATTTCTCATGGGGAATTTCCCATGGGTCAGAATAGGGTTTGAGGACTTCTTGATTTCAGTTATAAAAGAAAGACTGCAGAAGTAAAACCGTCAGTGTCAGTGCTGTATTTCAGTGAAATACAGCTGTCCGTTCTGTAGATAAGACCAGCCACTTAAGTGTGGCCTGCAGTCTGGTCATTTTTCTCCAAAGGAAAATAATTATGTTCAGTTTCGTCTATGTGATAGAGTTTGTTATTTTTCTGCAGAATGTTAATTTCCTTGGTGCAGAAAGTCCTATACCACATCGATTTAGCTTCATAGAAGATATTCAGCTTGTTATATGTTAATAATTCGATCAAACCTCTGATCTCTTTGGCTGCAACCACAATGGCCTCCTTGCCATTTCGCATACTCACCCAGCAAGGAGCCACGTGTTTCTGTCCTCTTTTCCAGAATGTTCTTTCCCCACATGATCACAGGGCTTGGTCCTGACTGTCCTCAACCCCGCTCACCTCCTCAGAGTCCTTTCCCAGTCCTCCTCATTTAAAATAGTACCCTTTGTTCTTCTCTCTCCCTTTAGCCAGCCTTAATTTTCTTCACAGCATGTGACATCATGTTAGATATTTGTTTATCGATATTGTTACCTGTCTCCCTAGGATGTCAGCTCTGTGAGGGCAGGGACTTCTTCTCTTTTGTTCTTCACTTTTTTCCCCAGTGCCTAGATCAGAGCCTGATACCTAAAAGGTGTTCCTTAAATGGCTGGTAAATGAATGAAGGAATGGATGAATAAGTGAATGAATGAATGAACCCAAGGCTCAAATAGCTGATTTTACTTTTGATCCTGTTTATTGGGTGGATTTGGGTAAATTTCATACCTTTTCTTATTTTTATATCAGTGTATAAAATTTGTATTTTGGTCTTGAAAGGAATCTCTTTTGAGGTCATTTAATCCTATCCCATCCGCAGTGTAACAACCCTGCCTGCTGTTTGCAGTCTTCCTGTTTTGTGGGAGTGTTCTGAACACCAAGTCTTCAGTATCTTGCAAGTGAATTTCACTTATGTTTCTTAACATTTACCACTGTCCTAACCTGAGTTAATTAAATATACCACCTAGGCTTGGTCTTGGTAGTAATGCCATTTCCTACATCCTCTTTATCATATAAAAATGTAGTTTTAAATGTTAAGCTCAAACATATGTAGAGATGAATATAGTGATAATGAGGTGGTTTTTTATTTTGTTTTGTTTTTCTCCTGAGAGTTGTCCTAATGCCACATGGTACCTTTGTAAGTTTTTAAATTTTTCCTAAGAACTGTCCACAGTAGAAAATAGAAAAAAGAGCAGATGTTTTTCTAAATACGTTGTTTCCCTTACTCAGTAGGAACTGGAGCTTTTTTCTCTTCCTAGATTGTTGGACTGCACACCAACATTGACTTCTTACTCAAGCTGTCTGGCCACCCAGAGTTTGAAGCTGGGAATGTGCACACTAATTTCATCCCTCAACACCACAAAGACCTGTTACCCAGTCGGAAGGCTGCAGCCAAAGAGGTTTTATGCCAAGCAGCTCTGGGTCTCATCCTCAAGGAGAAAGCTCTGACAGATGCTTTCAGACTTCAGACACAAGGTAGGGAATACTTTCCTTTTTCTTCTGCTTGCCAAGTTTTATGAATCATCATTAAACATGGTTTCCTTTCTCTGGGCCATTCTTGCCTCCTTTTCTTCTGTCAGTGATTGACACCATTCTCTACAGGTGTGTTTTTTAGTATGAAGGCGAGCTCTTCACATATCACGAATGCACCCATAAACACTGTTTAACCTATTAAATGTTGCTTAAGTAATCACTTAGCATTATAGAAATGGGTCTCTTTTCAACCAGGCATGAGTTCTTCCCTCATCCTGTGCTGATTTCTTGTGACTCCTTTTGTTCGCCACTCCTCATGGCCTATTTTATTGTATCCTCTGTACCCACAGCAACCGTCTTTGACAGGAGACTCTCAGATTCCCTTGGGTTACCCATGATTTACTGTCGAGTTACTTCTTCCTCTCTTTTTCCATCCTGTGCTTAAATTTCTGTCTAACTAGAAACTTAGGTACTTCGTAGTATCATAGAATCAGCACAGGAAGGACCATGGCAGTGATTCATCCTGGCTGTCACACACGTGCAGCTCATCCCTGCTTCACTGTTCCTGCTAAGTTGTTGCCCAACCTCTTCCTGACTCCTTAGGAAACCAGAAATTCATTACCTCATAGGGTAGCCTATGATTTTTGTCAGCTGTCCATTAAAAAGTTCTTCCCTTTAAATTGATTCAAAATCTGAGCTTTCCCAAATTGCTCCATAATATTTACTCAGGCTAACTCTGACCTTTGGAGCAAACTGATTAAACTGATTTAAAAAATCTAATCTAGGCCGGGCGTGGTGGCTCACGCCTGTAATCCTAGCACTCTGGGAGGCCGAGGCAGGAGGATCGCTCAAGGTCAGGAGTTTGAGACCAGCCTGAGCAAGAGCGAGACCCCGTCTCTACTAAAAATAGAAAGAAATTAGCTGGACAACTTAAAAGATATAGAAAAAATTAGCCGGGCATGGTGGCGCATGCCTGTAGTCCCAGCTGCTCAGGAGGCTGAGGCAGTAGGATTGCTTGAGCCCAGGAGTTTGAGGTTGCTGTGAGCTAGGCTGACACCACGGCACTCGAGCATTGGCAACAGAATGAGACTCTGTCCCCCCCCCAGAAAAAACTAATCTATTTATCTCTTATTATTATTAGGATTATTACATTATCCTATACAGGTTGAGCATCCTAAATCCAAAAATCCAAAATTTGAAATGCTCAAAATCTGAAACCTTTTGAGCACCAACATGACACTCAAAGGAAATACTCATTGACATATAATACAAATATTCCAAAATCTGAAAAAGTTCAAAATCCAAAACACTTCTCTTCTCAAGCATTTCAGATAAAGGATACTGAACCTGTGTTATTATAGGAGCCTATGATTTGAATCTTTAATTTCTAGATTAATTCAAGATAGTTACATTGAAATCTTAAAATGTACAATATTTTAAAAGCTTAAAACTACATCTTTGGGAGGTCTGTGTGTTCTAGCCTCATTTCAGCCTTTCATGTTGAATGAAAATGCATCTAAATACGCCCCATGTGGTATTCCTAAGCCTGAACTGAACATTTTTTAGAATAGAGTGTCTTCTTATTCTCACCTTCCTTTTTAGAATTTATAGCTAGTACAGATATGAGCTTTCAGAATAAATTGCTTCAGTTTAGCTGTGCTGTAGCTCCTGGATAAAGTTAGTGGCAGAAATTTTGGTGACCTGGAATGCATTTGCCCTATCAAAAGGGGGTGACTATTGTGCAGTTTATGCCATCAGAGGATGAGAGTTCATGCAAATATTCTGATTCTTCAAGAGAAGCTGGGATTTTTCATATGAAATTTCCAGAGATGTAAATGAAAATATCTATTTAAATTTAAAACAATGAGAAGAACAAAGAAAATACATTTAGGACCTGCATTTTATGTTTTCTTTTGTTTTCTTTTGCCAGGCTTGATACTCATAGATTTGTTATGAAATTCTAAATTTTTTCTAGATCAATTCTCTCCGTTTTCATCCAGCAGTGGAAGAAGACTGAATTTCTTGTACACCAGAAACATGACTCTTAGAGATGGTAAAAATAGTAAGTAATGTTTATTAAAAGAGAAATGTGAGTCATAGAAATGTATCACATTAACCTGAAAAAGAGGATTCAGCCCGGTCATTTTTTTAAATGCCTACCCTAAACATTGGAAGGGAATATGCCAAAATAATACAATTGGTAGTAGAGTTAATGGTATTTGCTTTCCTTCTTTATACTTTTACATATTTTATAAATATTCTAAAAACATGTCATAAAATATATGTAGCAAAACAGCTGAAATAAAATATGCCAAAACGTTAGTGAGGGTAGTGGAATTCGAGGTAATCTCTTTTTCCCCAATTCTTTGTACTTTGCTTTGTAGTTTTTTATTTACACTCTAGTAATACAGGGTGTATTATTTTTAAATAAGAAAAACAATATCCAAAACTGTATCAGAGAGGGAAGATTGCCTACTGCCTCAGGCAGTGTTTTTGGGTGTTTCAGTCAGAAGTGGGTCACTAAAGCGCTATAATTTGTTGTGTATTATCACATGTAAATTTTTATCTTCACGACAACTTAATGAGGGGGAGTCAGTGTTCCTCCCACCTATGGATGATGAAAGCATGGGTGAGGAGTCTCGGGAGTGAAGTAACTTACTCAAGGCTGCTGAGTTGCAGAGCCAGAATTGACACCCACTCTTCTTGATGTTGACTCTCATGCTATTTCCACCACTTCTCCAGTGGAAAATTGATTTTTGATTGCAAACTAATTTGAGTAGGCTCATGTTAGGGACTGATTTATTTTACCTGAAGTCAGAAAAGGCTGACACCTAAGTCAGAAGGCAGTTTATAAATTTATGGCTGGAGCAATGTACCAGAGGGACCAGAATCCTGTGATAGCTGGCGGCTGTATCCCTTGTGCTGTAGAACAGTTTTCATGGGAAGCCAGAGGGGTGCAGAGTCAGAGCTGAAAGTACTGGATAATCTTGAATGTGAGGTATCATTGAACTGTTACAACTCCAGTACAAGAATGTGCCTCCCAGGTAGAGCAGAATCCTCTTGCCAGTAGATCGCAGCACCCTCTTCCCTGGCTGGAGGAGAATCCTCTTTTCTTCAGCTCTTTGAAGCCATCCACACCTCATTCACCCAAGTTGATTGGATTACAGCTTTTTAGTTATTTTCAATCCTGAGCCTAGGTGGTCATTACCTTAAGTGCGTTAGGTGTATTACCAAGCCTTCCATAAGGAAAGTTTGCAAACATCCCTTACATTGTAGCATTCTGCAAACCCATCCATTTTACGCTGATGTGTTTACTTATTTCATCCTAAAAAGCAGTCCTCAAAATCTGGGAGTATTTTATTCTAGACTCCTATATGCTGAATACAAGTATCAAAAGCAATAAAGTTTCAATGGCCTCTTCAACCTGAATTAAACAGAATTACATGTATGATTGTAATTCATATGAGCCAACTGCGTTATTTGGCATGGATCTTCACTAAAGCACCAAGCAATGGTTTGAATTATGCTGCATTTTGAGGGAATTAAAAAAAGTTTTAATTAAAAAATAAATACATAATTGAAAGGCCAACATGATTGCTATTCTCTACACCCTTTTGGCAGTATTCTATGAAAATAATCCAGGTCTATGTGTAACAGCCTTCAGAAATGTCATATAGGTGAGTCTTTAAAAAATGCTAATGGACCATGTTAAACTTTCATACCTTATTAAATATATAAGAGGGTGTTTAAAGTTCTCTTGTCAGGGACAAGATACTGAGGGTAGAGAGAAACAAGTTCAGTTGCCCTATAATAATGTAAAATAATTTAGAGCTTTTCCAACAGTGTCTTCCTATGATTCTACTGGCATTCAAGTTGGTTAAATACTTAATATATTTTATAAATTGAAAGAAAATTGTTCTGGTATAATTGGAGGCATTTTCTCCTAAGAAGAATTAAAGCCTGTTGACATGATTTAGGGTGGAGAAGTTTCATTCATTCATACACTCAGTACAAAGTTTTTGAAAAAATAGATATGCAGAGTGATACGGAGAAGAGAAAAAATGTCTTTGTCTCTGTTTTTTTGTCTACAGGAATTTACCATTTGGAAGGGCATACATTGGGAGGTTGGATGGCATAGTGGTCAATAGGCAGGCTCTGGAGTTTATGTGCCTTAGTATTTGACCCTTGTGAACATTTTATTTTTGTAATTTTTTAAAACAGCTAATAAAGAGGAAAATTACTCTGTCAAAATCCAGGATGAAGGGAGACTCATAATGGTGTTTTATAGGCAGAAGTCTAAATGCTCAGAGGAGAGAGAATTCATCCCGCCCAGTCAGACTCTTCCTAAGGACAGAGGGCATGATGTGAACGAGGAGTGGGGTTTCCGAGGTGTGGCTGGGCACCTGCAGTGTGGGGAAGGAGGAGTGTGAGGACAGAGGCACAGCTCAGGGAAAGCTGGACACGTGTATGGGGAGTATTAATTGGCCCATTTTCCCATTTGGTTGGAGCATAGGACCATCTGCGTAGGAGAATGGTGGGAAATAAGACTGAGAGATTTGGGGGGCCTTCAATACCAGGCCAAGTACATTGAATGTGGTGGGGACATGCTAGGAAGCATCAGCTGCAAGGGCTGAGACAGGAAGCAGGAACACCCTGAAGGACCTCCTCAGAGTCAGCCAGGCCTGAGACAGTCGGGCCTGAGACAGGGGAGAGCAGTGGGAGGAATGGAAAGGAAGAGATGTGCAGGACAGGTATTTAAAGGGAAGAATTTGGCAGCTTTGTGGTGACTAGTGGATGCGGAAAGCAATGGAGAAGGCTGAGGCAAAGACGACAGGTTTTAAACCTGTATGACAAGGAGAATAGTGGTGCCAGTGGATCTCCCAGGTCTTCAGGGAAAGATAAACTGTTGGACTCATCATGTTCATTTTAAGCTGCCAGTGGAGCATCCAGCTGGGAATGACTAATCAGAGTTCTAGAGAAGCAAGGTCAGGGCTGGAAACATACTTGAGCTGGCAACATCAAAATGATGGATGAAGTATCAGAAGCAGATGAGATGACTTTTACCTATATACTCTACCCCACAAAACTTTTGATTTCCATCTCCTGGGATAGTCTTCAACCAATTCTGTATTCATGTAATACAGGCATACCTCAGAGATATTGCAGATTCGGTTCCATACCACTGCAATAAAGCGAATATCACAATAAAGAGAGTCATGCAAATTTTTTGGTTTCCCAATGCATATAAAAGTTATATTTACACTATACTGTAGTCTATTAAGTGTGCTATGTCTAAAAAAACCAACATACGTACCTTAATCTAAAAATACTTCATTACCAAAAATGCTAACAATTATCTGAGCCTTTAGCAAGTCATAATGTTTTTGTTGGTGGAGGGTCTTGCCTCAATGTCGGTGACTGCTGACTGATTACAGTGATGGCTGCTGAAGGCTGGAGTGACTGTAACAATTTCTTAAAATGAGAAAATGAAGTTTGCCGCATTGAATGACTCTTCCTTTCTCAAAAGATTTCTCTATAGCATACAATGCTGTTTGATAGCATCTTACCCATTGTAGAACTTCTTTCAAAATTGGAGTTAATCCTCTAAAATCCTGCCCTGCTTTATCAACTAAGCTTATGTAACATTCTGTATCCTTTGTTGTCATTTCAATAATGTTCACAACATCTTCACCAGGAGTAGATTCTATCTCAAGAAACCACTTTCTTTGCTCATCCATAAGAAACAATCCTCATCCATTCAGGTTTGATCATGAGATTGCAGCAATTCAGTCACATCTTCATGCCCCACTTCTAATTCTACTTCTCTTGCTATTTCCACATCTGCAGTTACTTCCTCCACTGAAGTCTTGAACCTCTCAAAGTCATCCTTGAGGATCAGAAGCAGCTTCATCCAAACTCCGTCCAAACTCTCGTAAACATTGATATTTTGACCTCCTCCTATGAATCACACATGTTCTTAATGGCATCTAGAATGCTGAATCCTTTCCAGAAGGTTTTCAATTTACTTTGCCCACATTCATCAGAGGAATCACTATCTATGCCAGCTGTAGCCTTACAAACTATTTCTTAAATAATAAAACTTGAAAGTCAAAATTACTCCTTGATCCATGGGCTATAGAATGTATGTTACAGTAGAAGGCATGAAAACAACATTATTTTCCTTATACATCTCATCAGAGCTCTTGGGTGACTAGGTGCACTGTCAATGAGCAGTAATATTTTGAAAGGAATCTTTTTTTCTGAGCAATAGGTCTCAATACTGGGCTTAAAATATTCAGTAAACCACACAGTTAACAGATGTGCTGTCGTCCAGGCTTTGTTGTTCCATTTACAGAGCACAAGTAGAGTAGATTTAGCATCATTCTTAAGAGTCCTGGGATTTTCAGAATGGTAAATGAGCACTGGCTTCAACTTAAAGTCACCAGTTGCATTAGCCCATACCAAGAGAGTCAGCCTGTCCTTTGAAGCTTTGAAGCCAGGCATTGACTTCTCCTCTCTAGCTGTGAAAGTCCTAGATGGCATCTTCTTCCTATAGAAGCCTGTTTTGTCTACATTGAAAAATCTGTTGTTTAGCGTAGCCACCTTCATCAATGATCTTAGCTAGATCTTTGGATAACTTGCTGCAGCTTCTACATAATCACTTGCTGCTTCATCTTGCACTCTGTGTTGTTGAGATGGCTTATTTCCTTAAACCCCATGAACCAAATTGCTAGCTTCAATTTTTTGTTGTTGTTTTTTGCAGCTTCCTCACCTCTGTCAGCCTTCATAGCATTGAAAATAGTTAGGGCCTTGATGTAGATTAGGCTTTGGCTTAAAGGAATGTTGTGGCGGGTTTGATTTTCTGTCCAAGGCACTAAAACTTTCTCCATAGCAGCAATAAGGTTGTTTCACTTTCTTATCGTTTGTCTGTTCACTGCAATAGTGTATAGTACTTTTAACTTTCTTCAAGAACTTTTCCTTTGCATTTACAACTTGGCTAATTGTTTTGCACAAGAGGCCTAGCTTTCAGCCTAACTCAGCTTTTGACATGGCTTCCTCACTAAGCTTAATCATCTCTAGCTTTTGATTTAAAGTGAGAGATGTGTGACTCTTCCTTTCAGTTGAACACCTAGAAGTCATTGTAGGGTTATTATTTGGCCTAATCTCAATATTTTGTGTCTTAGGGATTAGGAGGCCCTAGGAGAGGGAGAGAGACAGGGGAACGGCTGCTCAAAAAGTGGAGCAGTGAGAACACATACAACATTGATCAGCCTTACGTGGACGTGGTTCATGGTGCCCCAAAACAATTACAATAGTAACATCAAAGGTAACTGACTACAGATCTCCAGAACAGATATAGTAATAATGAAAATGTTTATAATATTGCAAGAATTACCGAAATGTGACACAGAGACAGGAAGTGAGCACGTGCTGTTGGGAAAATGGTGCCAATAGACTTACTTGAAGCAGGATTACCACAAACCTTCAATTTATAAAAAATGCAGTGTCTGTGAAGCAACATAAAGTGAAGCACAATAAAACGAGGTGTGCCTATAACATGAATAATCTCTTCTCTGTATGGTCTTATAGTTTATAAAGCACTTTCACATTTAATAATTCTTACATTTTCATACCCATTTAATGGCTCAGAAAAATCAAGGCTCAGAGATTTAGTGACTTAGTCAAAATCACAGAAGTGATCAGATGGCAGATTTTAGTCTTTAATCAAACCAAAACTCTTCTTTACCAATTCATTGCATGTTCTACTATAACACTGCAGCCTTTTCAGTTGAAGAAAAAATATCTAAAATATCCCACAACCTTAAAATATCTAAAACTCCATTTTTAAAAGAGAAAAGTTTGAAATGCACCTTTGTTGAAAGCTGCCCGACAGATGTATTTCTAAGAAAAAAACGCTCATTTCCAGGGAGTTAAAAGATGTTGATATCTCTTTGAATAGCTGGTTGACTTCGGGTTGAAAGTGAGATTTTTGATATTTTAGTTATTGAATAAGTGAATGTCTTCTGATTTTTTTCTTTTTTTCCCCCCTTTTTCTGTAAAGATGTAGCAATAGCTGTGACATACAACCATGATGGATCGTATAGCATGCAGGTAAGCCTTAATGTTTCTGTTCTACAGTTCAGAGCTAAATCTGATCTCTCTCATACTGAATAGGATCTTTTTTTCACTCTCTCATTCCTCTTAAGCATTTGACTATTGTGAGTGTAGTTAGGAGAATGTCGTGTGCTTTTATTTCAGACCCATTTTGGGGAAATTACTCCCTGTATAGTTTCTGATTATTTGCTCAGTTTAGCTGAGGTTCCCTTAAGAATAAAAACTTAGCAGAAAGTAACAACCTTGAATCAGACACTAACAAGCCCCTAAAGTATGTGCATGTATTTATATCAAAATTAGCAGTTCTCAAATTTTTGGTCTCAAGAACCCTATACACTCTTAAAAATTATCGAGACCCTCCCGCCCAAAGAACTTTTGTTTGTGCTAGTTGTATCAATTGATATTTACCATTTAGAAAATTTAATTGAGAAAATTTTATTTTTATTATTATTTTTAAATTCTGATAAAATACACATAACATAAAATTTATCATTTTAACCATTTTTAAGTGTACAACTTAATTGTATCAAATACATTCAAATTGTTGTGCAGCCATCACAATTATCTATCTCCAAAACTTTTTTCATCTTGTGAAACTGAAATTCAGTACCCTTTTAAACAGTAATGCAGGAGCAGTACCCATTCCTTCTTCACCCCAGGCTCCTGAAAGCCACGATTCTATTTTCTGTTTCTATGAATTTGACTACTCTAGGCACCTGGTAATAATTTAATATTTGTCCTTTTGTGACTGGCTTTTTTCACTTAACATAATGTTGTAAAGGGTCTTACATGTTGTAGCACATGTCAGAATTTCCTTCCTTTTTAAGGCTAAATAACATTCTGTCGTATGTGTATACCACGTATTCTTTATCCATTCATCCATGAGTGGATACTTGGGTTGTTTCCATCTTTTGGGTATTGTGAATAATGCTGCTGTGAACATGGGTGTGCGAATATTTCTTCAAGACACTGTTTGCAATCCTTTGGGGTATATATCCAGAAGTGGAATTGCTAGATCATATGGTAATTCTATTTTTAATTTTTTAAGAAACCACAATACTATTTTCCATAGGAGCTGCACCATTTTGCATTCCTACCAGTAGTGCACAAGGGTCCCAACTTCATCACATCTTTGCCACTGCTTATTATTTTCTGAGTTTGTTGTTATTGTTTTTTTAATAATAGCCATCCTTATGGGTGTGAAGTGGTATCTCATTATAACTTTGACTTGCATTTTTGAAATGACTAATGATATTCAGCATCTTTTCATTATTAATCAGCTATTTGCATATCTTCTTTGGAGAAATATCTATCGACATCCTCTGCCTGTTTTTTAATCTAGTTTTTTGTTGTTGAATTGTAGGATAAACTGAGAAAATTTTAAAACTTAAGATTATACAATTACACGTACCAGTAGCCATCAGAACAATAACATCACGTATTTGGTAGCCTCTGGAAAATTCCATTGTGTACTTATGAGAGAATAAGGGTAAAAAAGGGAAATAACATCTTAGTCTTATCATGAAAATTGTTTGACTTCATGGACTTCCTAAAAGGGTGTTGGGGACCCCAAGGGATCCACAGGTCACACTTTGAGAATCGCTAACTTTCCAATAGTGCTTAATTAAAAGAAGTCTGTTACACTGGCAAAATGAAATGCTAAAAAGGTTAAAAAAACAGTGTGAGAAGTCAACCAAATTCCTATAGTAAGGTACAAATTCAGGAAATAAATCATTTTTAATATGAGCTAAGAGATGTCAAATCCTGCAAAATGGATTTATCAATCATATGCATTAGACCTTCCAACACTTTAAGGCACATTATTTTTCTGTCTCTGAGATTCAGGAAAATCATGTAAAATCTACATACTTTTGTATGTGACAGCTGTAATTCATATTGGTGCCCCTGGTTCGGGACATTTTCTTGTCCCTTGATAACTGGTAAAGTAAATTGCCAATTTGTTCTAATCTGCTCATGGAACTGCATTCCCAGTTTTAGAATGTGCTTTTGTGAATCTTTAAACAAAACTATTTCCAATCTAACCTTTATGTCCTGAGAATTTCACAAACATTCAAATGGCTGTTTTAGTAGGTTACAAAGCAGAGTAAAATGTCATATTTAACTTAGGATAGATGAGAACTAATGTATAAATATTACAATGTGACCTATTTCACCTTAGCCTACATAATATATTTTAAAAGGATAGCTACAGGACTTTTACACTAACACTGTGGGAATTGAAATGAAGAATATAGAGGGAAGATTTAAATAGATTTTTTTGTGTGTACGGGAAATTTTCTCTTGAGTGTATATGTGAGAAAATATTCTTTAAAACAGAAAAGTTTCAGGTCCTTTTATCAGCTTCTTTGAAACATCGAGTGAAATCTGTTTTTTGGCACGTAGTCTCTTAGAGTGAGAAAATTGTGGTCAATCTCCAGCTAATTTATCTTCTTAAGTCATCACTGAAACCCATGAATTGCGTCTACATGTTGATGAGGTAAAAAAAATGACATCTAATTATATGGTTCTGGCTTTTTTCATTATTTACTTTGGCATAGGAAAACTAAATTTGACTTCAGGTAGTCAGAAATGAGTACTGATATGTAATATACATAAATGAATTGTAATAATTTTGCTTAATTTGATTTATATTTTTATTTCACTTTTTAGCGCTATCTTTATGTTCCTAAATGAACCTTTACCTGTAGCATTATGATGCTAAGGATATATGTTACATAAGTAATTTTTTTCGTTTAATTATCTGAAGTATTACGGTTAGGAATCTTAGGGGAAAAGTTCCTACATGACTTTTTTTTTAAAAGTATTTTATATGTTACCTTTTGAAACTACTAATAGCAAAGAGTTGATGATGATTTTATTAATTCTATAGGATTGTTCATTTATTTTAAAGATCTTATTTTTCTGTTTTTTCAGATTGAAGATAAAACTTTCCAAGTCCTTGGTGATCTTTATAGTGAGGGAGACTGCACTTACCTGAAATGTTCTATTAATGGAGTTGCTAGTAAGACTAAGCTAATTATCCTGGAAAACACTATCTACCTATTTTCCATGGTAATGTCTCTTTATTATAATATTACTCTTGGGGTTTGGGAGAAGATTGCCCAGGCCTCTCACTGAAAGAGATTATAAAGATCCTGCTTCCTTTGGCCACTGCTAGGACTTCTTTCCCTCCATTTTCTTCTCCACTCTGTTTCTTTGTCACATTCCTGCTTTCTCTAGTTTTCCTTTTGCGTCTTTTGTTCATGCAGATTCTCATCGATAGACGTATATCCATTTTCTTCCTTGAATTCTGAAACAAGTCCTTATGCTCTCCTTGTCAGAGAGTATCTCCTAGCTCAGTGGGTGGTATTCTCTCAGGGCTTCGATGCCTGAACACTTTTCCCCAACCGCCATTCTCCTGACACTTGGAATCCTGGTGATTTGGGAGGAGGTAACCTCTGGGAGAGAAATCTATGGCCCAGATGTTCCTTGTGGGGAAGGTAGAAGGGCTTAGTGATGTTCTCTTGGCAGTCAAAAAATGGTTGAGGCAGGCTTTGCGTGGTTTTGGCTAGGAGCTTTCTGCCCAGTGAGTCTTTAATGTCCTGCCCGGGCAGAAGAAGTAGGATAGATTATCAAATATACCGTGGCCTCACAGTGCTTCATGATAAGATATCTTTAGTATTCTAGTAATTAAACTGTTATATATGGAGTTGAGGATGGTCCCGCTTTACCAGGCATTCCTTTCCACTGTCAACTGTGCTATAACGATGTGATGGCAGAGGCAGTATAATGGAGGGGTGAAGAGCATGAGTTCTGGAATGTGAAGCTGCTTTGGTTCAAATCCTGGTCCTGCCACTTAGCAGCTGTGTGACCTTGAGCAGTAGTTAAACTCTCTGGGCTGCAGTTCCCCTATCTATAAACAGTAATAATAACGGTACCCACCTCAGTTATTGTGATGATTAATGACATGGTATATATAAATGTTAAAAACAGTCCCTGCCATAGACTAAGCACTTGATGGTGGGATCGCTGCTTAAAAATGGCTCCCTGTTACCTATAGTTATAGATTTAATACTTCAATTCTCTTAATCCCCTGTGAGGCATGTATATCATTACCCCTTTATAATGGGAAACCAAGTCTGAGAGGGATTTAATAATTTGCTCAAGATCACAAAGCTAGATTAGAACCTGGTATTAATGATGGCTAATATTTAACAAATAACTTGAAAACAATCATTACCTTGGGTATATTAGTGAAAATACAGTGATGGGATCTTGATTCCATTTTCAGTTTGTTTTCTATTTATAGGAAGGAAGTGTTGAGATTGGCATTCCAGTCCCCAAATACTTGTCCTCTGTGAGCTCAGAAGGAACTCAGGGAAGCACCATTGCTCCTATGACCGGAACCATTGAAAAGGTAATCATGGGACATCTGTCGAATAATGTTCAATAAGGCCTAATGGCTTTGTTGAATTTTGTCATATATATCCTTTTCCATCTCTGAATCTTGCTCCTTGGAAAGCATCTATTTCAAGAAAACAATAGGATCTATTATAGATTCAAGTTCCATATTACAGTCTTCAATGAAAATACCCATTTACCTAATTTGTGATAAAGACCGCTGCTTTTGAAGGTGGAAATTTACATCAAAGTACAAATAATCTAAATTGTTTTTTATGATTAAATGGAGCATTCTCCAGACATTGTCCAAAAAGGCTGGTTTTTAATGTTAAGTCCAACAGCAAGCAATTTTGTCATGAAATTTTTCTTTAACGTACCTAATTGCATCTGTGTTAAAATAGAATTTGATAGGCTGGTATTAGTATTGGTGAAGACAAATGTGGTTTGGTGTTGATTGCTGTATATATTCAGAGTTGAGATCCATACTGTCTCAATCTGTTTGGGCTGCTGTAACAAAATACCATAAACTTGGATGGCTTATGAGCAACAGAAATTTATTTCTCACAATTCTGGAAGCTGGGAAATCCAAGATCAAGGCACCAGCAGATTAGGTGTCCTGTGAGAATCTGCTTCCCGGTTTCATAAACAGCCATCTTTTCTCTGTGTCCTCACATAGTAAAAGGGGCAAGGAACCTCTCTCAGGAGTCCTTCTAAGGGCATTAATCCCATCTATGAGAGCAGAGCCCTCCTGACCTAATCACCTCCCAAGGGCCCACCTCCAGATACTGTCACGTCTGGGGTTAAGACTTCATATGAATTTTAGAGGGACACAAATATTTAGACCGTAGCAGACTAATATAACTTCAAATGGTGATAGATCAGTAGTCTTCTTTTATATACTTGACTATAGTAGAGTCTTCTTAAATGCATTTAAATCATAAAAATTCAACTATATACTCTGGTACAAAAAAAAAGAAGAAAATTACTATTTAGTGTGGGTGATTTAACCCACTGTTCCCCTCTGGAAATATGTACCCCAAAGGGAATATGAGCTAAGAGACCTGGATCTGCCTTTAACTCACTCGATTTCAGTTCCCACAGGCCTGCATGCTGTGGCCATCCCTGCACAGGGTGTTAGTCTTACATTTCAAGATGCACACTTTCCCTGTAACTGGCCTGTAAACCCAGGCCATTGATTTCACTGGGCTCAACTAAAGCATCACCTAGGATTGGGTGATTGGTGGGGCTTTCAGGAGTGCTTCCTACTTTTCACAAATTTGGTCCACCCAATGACTTTAGAACCTAAGTGCATGGTGTGATATTTCCAAAAATTCCTTGGTAACCATGTTAACCAAAAAGACAGTGAGACCATATGAGATATGTGAGTGAATTTATATGTGTAAAAAGGAAAATAGAAATATTTTTTCGGGGTTGCTATTAAGTTTAATTCTCTCATGCGAAGGCTGTCACACACTGTCACACACACTACTGTCACACACTACTACTACAGGGCTCTGAAGACCTCAAACACTACCCAGACAACCCCAAGACCATCATCTTCTACCCTGTCTGTGGTAAAGATATTTAAGTGTATTATTAGTCCTTCCCTGTCAGCAATGTGTCTTATTTGTACATTCATGAAAAGAACAAAATGATACCAAGGTATATAAAGTGTATTCATCTGATTTAAGCAAAACTAAGTGGTTTGTGGGGTGAAGATAGGGAACTGCTCAGTGCTGCCCACTGACAGTGGTGCTAGCAATGCCGCATAGATCTGTGGGTCTCTGATTTGCATCTGTACGTTTGCCTTTGGCAGACAGCACAACCACAGACTCATACTTCTGTTTGTTTACACACCAACTCTATGGACCACGAAGAACCTCTGCGTTGTTTTTGTTTTTTAAATAAATTTTTGTGTGTATTGGTGGTTTACAACGTGATATTATGGGATACATTTGGATAGTGAACTGGTTCCTATTATATAATGAAGCAGATTAACATATCTAGGACCTCTGTGTTTTGAAACATTAACCTGTCCCACTGAATCTCTAGGTGTTTGTCAAAGCTGGAGACAAAGTGAAAGCTGGAGATTCTCTAATGGTTATGATCACCATGAAGATGGAGGTAAATGAAATCACGAGTTTAGCTGCTAAGTAACTTTGGGAGCTATCAGACTTAATTGTTCTTTTGCCTTATTTTGTAAGTTAACACCATTTTAAATATGAAGAGCTATGGATTGATTAAGCATTAATTATAGGAAACAAAGCTAAACCATCCTTCTTATAAATATGCTTTAATTTTGTGAAATCATATTTGTCATTTGTGATTCTGAAATTAATGAAATTATTAATAGCTTGGAATCAGGCAGTAACCCAACTGAATGTTAACAGTTGGTATTTTCTAAGGCTGAACTTAGAATGCCAAGCATCAGTATCAAAGTGAAAACCTCTACCAAATTAAATTAGCTGTTTAGGTTTTCAGATGGTTGGAACTTGTAGGTCAGTGGTTCTTAGCCCTGGCTGACGATCCCCAACTTACTATGATTCAGTTTAGGATTTGTCAACTTTACAGTAGTGCAAAAGCCATATGCACTTAGTTTACTCCTCAACTTACAGTGGGTTTATCCTGAGGCAACCCCATCCTAAATCGAGGAACATCAGTACAGTCCCCTGGGGAGCTTTTAAAAGATGACTTCCCAGACCAGTTGAATTGGGATCTCCAGGAGTAGAGCCCAATGATCAATACTTTTTAAAAGATTCCCAGGTGAGATTCTAATGTGAAGTCCAAGTTGAGAACTATCAATACTAGCTAGAGCAGAGTTTCCCAGTCATGTCCTTGAATGGTTTACCGGTGTGTCCAAGGATGGACTCCTCTCAACTCCCAAACATACTATAAAATGTTACCATTTTCTCTGTGTGCTGTGATGTAAAAAAAAAGAAAAAGGAAAAAAAAAAGTTGGAAAGCACTGAGAGACTACAAAACATCGAAACAATGGGCTACATTTTTAACTTTTCATCTCACTTTCTTGACTGAGTGTATACTTTTCATTAGCATTGCAGCTACTGTTTGTCATGCCTTGTGTCTCTGCAGCATACCATAAAGGCCCCAAAGGATGGCACAATAAAGAAGGTGTTCTATGGAGAAGGTTCTCAGGCCAACAGACACTCTCCTTTAGTAGAGTTCGAGGAGGAAGAATCTGACAAAAGGGAATCAGAATAAATTCCAGCAAAGAAATGGCCGATTAAGTGGTATCTTCTCTCTATACCAAAAAGAGAAAGTGCCTCCTGCTTTTCTCGAGGTCTTATAAACAACAGTTTTACTAAATGATTGTGTGATTGTACTAAATCCCTTTCATATTTGAGAATCATGCATTTGGGTCGCAAATCAAATAAATTATCTCAAAATATTTCATACTAATAAAGTTGAATTATACTTTTTATTGGAAGTTAATGTTTGTTTCTGCCTCAAATTTTATACAATGTAGTTATCTTCTGGGGGGCAGGTAGCAACTTGGTCAAAAGAGAAGGATTGGAAGTGAAAAAGTCATTTAACTAAATGAATTAGTTCCCAGTTACAATCATGATGAAAATGGATAGTAACACATTTCAGAGACAATGCCAAGGTTTTGTTTCACCAAAGAGTAATTTGGGGAATTTAAAGACATGGATGTTGTTTGAGTCTTTGTGATTAGAAAGTTTCTATCTAGACTGCCCCTGTCCTTGTTGTATCTTCTAGGCTTGTTTTTTTTTTTTT